GAGGAAATGACTCCACTTCTCTCTGGATTTATTCCCTCAGTAAACATTGTAAACGTGAGTTTATGGTCTCAGTCTCTAGTTTCACGTCTTCTTCAACGCAGCATGATGTTCATTTAGTGACCGATGGTCCATGAGTCACACAGAGGTGTTCTTACTGTTAGCTGTCAGCAGTCAGCAAACTGTTTCCCGCCATTGTGTCTCTTGTGTTTTCCACTGTGCCATTATTACCATTATTGTCTCCCAAATCCCAAATGTGCCAAAAGTCTGCAATCCATCCTGCTGAATGTTTTGGATGAAGGTTTTGTGTCACCGTGAGGCCGGATAGAAGACGTTGTCATTTCATTGGGTGAAGACCAAGTTCTTAATCTCTGAGATTGAAGGATCTGTACTGAGAAGCCTCTTTCACAAGCTGTTTGGACCTGCTGCTCACGTCTGACGCCAGCTTTCCTTCCATTTGTCTCCTCCGTCCTGGCCCAAAGCTTCTGCAGCAGTTGGTGTGTCAGTGTTCAGTGCGTGTGAGTGTTGACTGTAAGAAGAGAAAGTCCAGATAGAGGATTAACGGGCCTGTAAAGCAGATCTGTGGTTTCTAATGAAGGGAAAGTATGAGTTCTGACAGGCTCAGGTGCTCGCCTTTTACACCAGTTTCTGGAAAGGTGGCGAGCAAACAGGAATCAGCGATGACGTTCTGGTTTACTGGACCTGAAAACAGTAACAGAACCGACTTGGTCAGATTATCATCAACCAATTATTTATGTACAAATCAAATGTAATCTGAATCATTGAAAAGTTAAAACACAAGAAAAAGTATAAAATAGAATACAACCATATATTGATCATGTTTTAAAGAAAACCGGAGGAACATGAACATGAACATGAGGAGCATGAACACGAGGGACATGAGGAACACTAACACGAGGAACATGAACATGAACATGAGGAACATGAACATGAGGAACATGAACATGAGGAGCATGAACATGAGGAACATGAGGAACACTAACACGAGCAACATGAACATGAACATGAGGAACATGAACATGAGGGACATGAGGAACACTAACACGAGCAACATGAACATGAGGAACATGAACATGAGGAGCATGAACATGAGGAACATGAGGAACACTAACACGAGCAACATGAACATGAACACGAGGAACATGAACATGAGGAGCATGCATGAGGAACATGAACATGAAGAACATGAAAATGAGGACTATGAACACGAAGGACATGAGGAACACTAACACAAGGGACATGAACATGAGGAACATGAACATGAGGAACATTAAAATGAAGAACATGAAAATGAGGACTATGAACACGAGGGACATGAGGAACACTAACACGAGGAACATGAACATGATGAGCATGAACACAAGGAACATGAACATGAGGAACACTAACACGAGGAACATGAACATGATGACTATGAACAGAAGGAACATGAACATGAAGAACATGAAAACGAGGACTATGAACACGAGGGACGTGAGGAACACTGACATGAGGAACATGAATATAAAGAGGCATCAGAGCACATGAATCATGTTTCAGCTCAACAACACGTCACACGCCAGTGAAACTTCAAGATTCCTGTTGAATCAACCAAGCATCTGTTCCTCCATCTGATTCACCCATTAATAAGGAAAGGGGGGGGGGGGGCGTTTCTCAGGCGAGGCCAAAAGACCCGATGGTGGAATGCGTCAAAAATCTCCCGTCGGTGCGATTCACCATCAGATGACACACATAGACGTTCTGCTCATCAGAAGGGTGTGAAGAAGAGAAGAAAGATTCCTCTTTGTTCGCTGCAATTAAAACCTTAGTTTATGCATTTATATATTATATTGAGCGCAAAGAAGAATACGGAAAAATCAAGAGGGAGAATAGAGAAAAGAAAAGGACCAACAAAGAGCTGCTTTGCATTGTTGAATATTCTGAAATAGCGAGAATCAATTGACTTACAACTGCATTAAATGGCCTTTAAAAATGCCCCCTGAAGGTGGTAAATCCTGCTCACTGCCCCGGGATCATTTTGAAAATCCTCCAACCTCAAAGAACCCTTCAGCCCGGGTTATCTACCCTGTCCCAGTAGCCCTCCCTGAATCCACTGAGTCTCCGAGTTGCCCCTTACTCCAAAGCCGCTCACTGTGTGCACTTTTATTTTAATTTTGTCAGAGCATTTTATTCTTTGATTATCAAGCAAAGCAACGCAGTTTGCAGCGTTACTAACAACACATCTGCAATTGCTCAACATAATTCTGCATCGTGGATGTGTTTCTGGCAGCGTGTCATTGGTCCGACTCCCTTTGCTTCTGGGTCGTGTGAAAACTGAATCAACAGCAACTCCTCGGCCCTCCGCTCGCCCACCGAGGAGGGCAGCTGACAGGTAGGAAGAACACACACACACACACACTTCCACGTCGATCGGGACCCTCCGTGCCGACCCCCCGCCTCGCCCCGAGAAATGTGCCATATCGATGCTGAGAAGCAGGTCAAGCATTCTGTAAGTGCAGCAAAGTGAGATCATTTCAACAGAGATCGCTCTCGGCTCACTGCTAAAACACCTCCCAACCCCTCCCGCAAAAAAAGACACAACCCCCCTTTTCTTCTCAGACATGGTACCAAAACAACCGGCTTTTCCAAAAGGCGAGGCGAGCTGATCTGTACCTCCCGCTATCGAGCTGCCTGATTGGTCGGATCTCCGGCTCTCTGCTGGTCCGTTCCCGCCATGTGGAGGCATGCGATGCTGCAACGGCTGTGAGGTCACAGCGCTGACCTCTTCTAGCCTTACCGGGCCTTACTGGGCCGGAGTTGATTCTGGAGTGTAGTTATTCTATTCAAGTCTTTCTTTGACCAGACAAAGGCATCGTGGAAGCTACAAAGCAGCCCGTCATTTGCCAGCACCGCTGCTCTCTTAATGCCAGAGCCTGAGGGGGGGGGGGGGGGGGGGGGGGGGTTCAGGGGGGAGGTCCACTTAAAGCCAATCCATGAGTCGCCTGCGTCCTGCGTGACCTTCTTGTTGTCTTCCTTCCAGGACTCAGCCAGTAGGTCAGAGGGGCTTCCTCGCAGACTCAAGAGGTTCCTCAAATGGAAGGAAAAACATCTGAAGATCTGCATGTTTGCTGAAGGAATCATAATCATAACATCTGTCAATAGAAAAATGTCATTTTTGTTGGTTTCGCATTAAACCCAGAATTTGTTCTGCAGCATATGTTGGAGATGGACGTGCGTCGAAGTGTAGGGTGGCTGAATTATTAAATATATTACAGATGAAAGGTACGACCCCCCACCCTAACTCCCCCACCCTAACCCCACCCAACCCTTCCAGCCTACCCTTAAGTGACTGTCGGCCAACCAAGAATCCAACACAACACACTGTAATACAAATAAAAATACTACAATAATAAAACAATGAAATAGAAAATGTATAAATGATAACTACAAAATGAGCATTCAAAATATACAACATAACAAATTAAATAGCAATAGAAGTACAATGCATGTTAAAGTTTTGTAGCCTTTGAGTCAGATTCTCTTTCATTTTAGACATTCGGGGGTCTCAATACTCGGGGGTCTTTGCCCACATGGTGATGGAAGGACTGGATGATAACCACAGAGCGGACAACGCGAGGCATCACGACTTACCCAGACCACGCTGCTCAATTAGGAGCATTGCGGGTTTGGTGGGGAGAGGTGGGGGAGGGGGGGGGGGTGGGCGTATTGTTCCTGCAAAGGCATGAGAGGGAAATCACCCCAGGATGAGAAGTGACCCACATTTGGGAAGAAGAAAGATGGGGCGACCCTCAGACCCCCATAACCCCCCCGCCTCCACCCCCCCCAGGCAGCCTGCTGATTGGTTCATTACCCATAGTAAACACGTCACTGCCCCCCCACCCACTACCACCATAGCCCCCCCCCCTCCCAGTCAATCATCCTGCTCTGGTAAAAACCAGATTCCTTCAGTGTCACGTTCACACATAACTACACATTCTCTCCATCTGCTGGAATTCAGACCGGAGGAGGTTATTAAATATTCTTTTGTTTGACAGGAAGTTTACAAAAGATGAGGAGGAAACATGGGGCGGCTTTATATGGATCCACAACCACGTTGACAGATCGTTTTCATTGATGTTATAATGTTATAAAACAGCAAAAGTGCAAAGTGGAACTCTAATGATTCATTGATTTATAATATATGTCAATGCATGTGATTCAGTCTGCAGCTAAATGAATATGCTCTATAACTTCTATGTGATATTCTTGTTAAGTTTAATTTAAACTGAAAGTGACCACACGGTGAGTTCTTCTTTGCACCTTTTGTACTCATTGCAAACATATATATGTGTTGTGTGTTTGTGCTTTTTCCTCTTGAAATGTCAGATACATCGGAGGTGATGTGTGAACCGATCAGGGATCGTTCTCCCATTAGCAGACACGTGGTGCCTCCTACTTGGGTATGCATTTCACGTGCATCAGCCCCCCGCTCACTCTGGAAGGTTTACCTTCACCACTGTGATGCCTCCACGTGCACCATGGGCTGTCACTCCCACTTACTGTGGATCAGCACGCTGAGATTGGTTCAGAAGGAAAAAAGAGAATAAATTTCACGAAGAGACGTACAGGATGAACGTGCTACGAGATAATAAGACGCAGGGTAGACACGACTAATATATATATATATATATATATATATATATATATATATATATATATATATATATATATATATATATATATATATAAACACATATATTTCCCATCTGGTCTTTGTGAAGCTCCCCCGAGGTCTCTGGTGCCCCCCACTGTCCACAGGAAAGAGCTCCATTTGGGCAACGTCAATAAAGGTGAATATCACCTGATGCAATACGATGGAAAATTAATAAATTCAGTAGAAGACGCTCATTAAAACACATTTTATTATTGATCTTCGAACGGGTGCCTGCCGTTCACATGACTCACGGTGCCGTGAACGTACCCTGCGCGGTCACGTGACCACGAAAACCGCGTGACCGCGCACCGTGGTCGTCGTGAGGAGCGACCTCTTTGAATAAACCCATTAACGTAAGAATAAAGATGGAGTTGGGCGACAACCTCGGCACCATGGGCACTATGAAGTGCAGTTTCTGCGGGGAGGTGTTCAGACTGTCGGGTAGGATGAGTAAATGTACCCTGTTACAGTTTAATACGTCATATCGTGTTTTATAACTTAAGTTAGCTTAAAACACGTCGTTTCATCGGCTAACGCCAGCTAGCAAGCGGCGAAGCTAGCTCAGTTAGCTCAGCTAGTTAATTAGCGAGTCCTTTTAAAAAGTTTCAAATACCGATAATTTATACGTTGTACTTGTGGAATGCAGCATATTGTATTGTCCTTAGATTTTTAAAGTAGTTCCCTAGGGGTTGTTGTTTTCAGCTGCGTGTGCTAAGCTAACGTAAGTTAGCACCAAGAGCCTCAAAACCTCGCGCCCAACGCGATTCACGCGAACACGTGACTCTTAAACCACATTCAAATATGTTGAATCCCCCATCGTTTTTTTTTAAAACGTGACAGACATAGTTGAACCTGTAACTGGATTTAATAAAACAATTATAATTTTAAAGTATAATAAAAATAACAGTGGTGTTGTTAATAAATCAAATAACTAAATGTCAACCCTACGCTATCACAGTCATATAAATAAGCATTTGGTCATATCATATATCTACTCCATAATACTACACCAACTCATTAACATCTTGACTTGATGTATCTGTATTTTCGTCTTATGCGATTATGAAACATCTTTTTTCAAATTGTCACAAATGCACTATACTACTGAGGTAATAACTTTTAAACAGTCTATTAAAGCTGATAATATAAATGGAGAAGTTGAATGTAAATACTAACCAGCCGTTGATTATTAATCATTAAGATCATAAACCATTGGCATAGAAACAAAATTAATTAAGAACAACTCACTAGTAGCAACTGTAAACTACAAAACAAGCATATCAGCATTGTTGTGACTCAACGTTACTTGAAACCATATTCATGAATATATAATAATATAACGTGTTGTTTGAAATTAGTATTTTTCTATCATAAAATCAAGTAGTTTGTGCATTAACCTTTGGAAAAATGGGAAAGAGGTTAATTTTACATTATTTAGAGTTTGTTACGATCTAGCAGCGAACCTGCATACCTCTGCACTAATTAATGTTGTGATGTGATGTGCTTTTAAATTGAACTGGATCATTACAAAGATAATTTATTATTCCTACGGTCTGTTTTTTTTTTGTATTTCCATTTTTTTTCAGAGGATGATTCGGAGGGAAACCTCCCTCGTGTGCTTGTATGTGCTCACATCTTCTGCACGTCCTGCCTGCTCTCCTTCCACCGGCACGGGGTCATTAGATGTCCGGAGTGTGAGGTGAAATGGGACTTCTTTTGTAGTAATGGGGGGGGAATATTGTTTCATGTAAGAACGGAGGTTCTTTTCTTCCCAGATTCTGATTCATAACCTCAAAGAAGGAATTCCTGTAATAACTTGTCTTCTTCATTACCTGAAGGCTGTTTGTCCTCTGTGTGTATTGTTATGATCAGACACACGATGCCAACCGCGTCCTCCTTTACCACCGTGGTTGGTCAGCAGCTGGCCACAGGAGCAGATCTTCACAATATGTTTTTATTTAGTTTTTGGTTTTAGGGTGACCGTGAAGTTCGCTCTGTGCAGGTTGAGTCGACGCTTCCTGAAGGAGGAGTGTTCGCCCTGCCGGAGGACAGCAGAATCATTGGCCTAATCTACACTTCCAAAATGAACAAGATGAAGAGGTATTTTGGAATGTTGAGATCAACGAGCCAACTGACACAGCCAACTTAACACATCTTTATGCCTCCTTCTTGTGTAGTCGGATTGTTCAACATATTAAAAAGAGATTTTATCCTTTGATTGTTGCCTTTGTGTCTCTTTAAGGTCTTCCGGATCGTTCAATTGCAAAAAGCCCAAATTAACACCGGCCAAAGACGTCAGCGCCGGCACTGAGGTCACCAAGCAGGTGTGTTGGTGACCGTCACCTCAGACCAGAATGTTACTGTTCAAACTAAACTAATTTCAATCTACCCTTATTCCCAACGATCAATGTATATAAGTACATCTATATATATTATATTATATTATAATGACGGGGAAAAAGGAGTGGAAAACAAGTATATAGTGTGTTGTAATCATCTTTGATTTGATTGGCTACCTGCTTCTAGCACGGCGTTGACGTGCAATGCTGAGAAGCTCACAATGTTTAACACTTAATTTTCCTCTAATCAACGCTGGAAAAATGTGACATTTTTTGTAAAATGAGGCGTTTCTCTGCTTCTCTTGGAAACTTAAATGTAGCTGGATGAGGTGGGTGGAGAAATATCTCGAGTGAATGTTGTACACATGTGTGAATGTTTCTATTTTTGTGGTTCCTGGGAATAGCCTTTGTTTTCCCAGAAGAGCTAGAAGACACATCTGGGGGAAAGAGATGTGAGGTTTTACAGAATGTGGATCATGAAACACAACAAACTGGACAGAAGGATGTAAATAACATCAATTAAGTCAGATTAAAGTGGTTAAAAGTCTGCTTGTGTGTTGTGCAGGTTGATGTCGAGGAGATTAAGATTGAGTCGGTGGATGAGGCGTTGGCCCGAGCTGCAGAAAATATCGCCGTTCTGGACACCATCCACGAGGTGCCTGCTGCATCCCCACAGAAGATGAGCTTCACTCACTAGAAATGCACCGATCGATGCGCAGCAGCAGCAATTATCAGTGTCATAGTTCGGATTAGGCGGATTTAGACATGGATCTATTCCCCACATCAGAATGTAACAGTGGATAAGAAGAGTCTGTCTCATGTCTGCAGACGCTGACCGTCGGCCTGAAGCAGCAGGTGAGGACGGAGAGAAGTCGGCTGGAGGCGGAGATCAAGCAGACTGCAAGCGAAGCCCTGCAGGCCGTTCAGAAGTGGTGAGGATGTAAATCTCAGGTCCATTCGCATGGAACCTGGGACACAAACGGGCGAGCTGTTCAGAAGTGTGTTCGTGTGGTTCTTCTCTGGTCAGTGTTTCACCGCATTAGATGGAGCAAAGTGATAATCGTCATTGACAAGCCGCTGCTGGTCCAACGCCGCCTACTTCCATTAGTTTGGTGTTTTTAAAAGTCTCAACGACACAAACTAACTAACCGATAACTCCTGTGTCCTGTGAAGTACGATCAAACAGATTCCTTCGACGTGTCTGAAGATCCTCTGGTTCCTTCTTTGTCCACAGGAAGGACGTGCAGCTGAGTCAGCTGAGTCAGCTGGAGGCCCGGTTCTCCTCCAGCCAGGAGGAGGTGGACCGTGTGCACAAGAGAAGAGTGGCGCTGGAGATCGCCATGCAGATGGCCAGAGAAGTACACCGCGTCCCCTTCCTGGAGCAGTACTGCACCCTGGACAAGGTAGATGTTCGTACCGCAAACACACACTTCCAGGGGAGCGCAGGAAGCCGTTGAGGAACCCTGCGTGTGCTTTTTGTTGCTCTGCGTGTGTGCGGATGGCAGGTTGTGGAGACGTTGGAGGCTCCTGTGGATGAACAGTCGTACGACATGGAAAGCACGAGCAGGGGCTGCGGGCTGAGGTCTGTCTGTCTGATTGTTATTTACAGCGCGTTGGTTTCCCTGCTGTAAATGATGTTAAATATCCAAAATGACAATGAAATATGAACGCTCCTTCCACTGCTTTATTCCCTGCCCTGAAACGGGTTTGACTTGTACGGTTTATTTAACGTGTTTGTTTTGTGTTCCAGCTTTGTTTTCCTGTCCGAGAACCTGAACCAGAGTCTGGTGTTGTCTCTGAAAATGGAGGTTGCCGCCCCAAAGCAGTGAGTCCTTAAATATTCCTCCATTTAGTTAGTGGATGACGTGTTAAAGAATAATGATAATCTTTTAATAATAATCGTCTTGTATTTTTAAAAGCTTCCTACCAGGACTCATTCAGCGAGGCTGCTGCTTTTATCTCCCTCAGTTATTAAAGGAGGTGCATTTGTTTTGAACCAAGCGCGCCTCCGAGTGGATCTCGTGTAAACGCGACAGGCTCCACCTGGTGGTGCAAGTCTCATTTCACTGAGTCATTTACTCGCTGACACATTTCGTTTTATCCGTCTCTCTCTGCTGTTTTCACGCAGGCTTTTCAAGTCTCCTCCCCACAGCCGCCAGCAGAGCAGCTCTGGCAAAAAGCCCCCCCGGCCAAGTCCAAAGGTCACGCACCCTAACGGCGCGTGGCCCCAGCCGGAGAGCCCGAGGGCCCCCGGCTCCTGCTCCCCGAGCCCGGCGCCTCGGCCTCGCTCGGCCTCGGAACCCGAAGTTCCCGAGGAGCTTTTGGCCGACGGGCAGGAGAAAGGTGCGTCCAGTCTGCCTTTAGATGATGTCCCATCCAGACAGGACGATGGAGGCAGAAAGGAAGTGTAATGTAGGAATTTACATTTGGTGAAATGCTTTGCTTCCTCCTGCAGCCGCCCCGCCCACCGGCCCCCAGCTGGCCAACGACTGGAGAATCCACAGGAGGAAGAAACATCTCCTGCTTGGCAATAAGAGAAATGGTGAAGAGAGGCAACTTGGTGTCTTTTATATTCATAACCCAGATTATTCTTTTGATGAAACAACACACACTTTGTAAAACCTTTTTAATATCTAGGAAAACAAATCAGTCACAATTTCATTTAATGTCCTAATCTTCCTTTTTCACATCCTTTCTAATCTCTTGCCTATTGCCTTAATTCTCGATTGTCCTCACCCGGCCTTCCCAGTCGCCCAGTGGGTGGTGTTGAGCCACGTGGTGAATCCGAGTCATTTCTACGTCAGCTACGTGGCCGAGAAGAGGGAGCGGGAGATCCTGGAGAAGAAGATCGACCTCTTCTGCTGCGCAGACGGCTGCCTCTTCAGTTCCAGCGACGTGGTGGAGACCGGTGGGTCTCAATGAAGCGCTTCATTAAGAATAGTTACTTTAATGGTTGGAGGAAAAGTAATTCTGTAACTGACTAATGGTGGCTGAGTTCATTTTAATTAAAAAAGTAAAAACTGCGCAAATCTTTCCAGTAAAGATTCTCTTGACTGATTCTTCCACTCGTGATGTTTCACTTTCCCACCGAGTTGAATGTAGAGAATATTTCCGTCTCTGTTTGGGTCTGCTCCTCTCCAGGCGCCACGGTCTTTGCCAGGGAGGGGAGGGGCCTCTGGTCCCGGGCCCGCGTGCTGGAGGTCTTTCAGAGCGGATGTGTGGAGGCCGTGGACGTCTGCCCGGCCGGCCGGCTGGACAGACTGCGGCTCTTCTTCCTGGACTCCGGTCTCGGGAAAAGCCTCGACATTCACCGGTAACTTCTCATGGAATTTGTTTGATTTGGAGAATCTAAGCTTCTCTTCAGTCATCCTGTTAATTTAAACAGAGAGGAGGAGACGGCCGCCTCCTCGTTGAAGGCCGTGAACGACCACCTGAGGAAGGTGGAGGAGGGCGTGAAGGTGGAGCTGCGTTGCTTTGCTCCTCAGGCCATCAGATGTTCACTCAAGGACCTGGTCCCCTACGACCCGGTGAGAACATTAAAATGAGCACATGTTGATCAGAGGAACGCGGTCGTGCGATGACCCTCGAGAAAAAACGCATTTCATGGCAGAAGAAGAGCCACCGCGTGAATTCAGCTAACTCAAAGGCTTAATTGTCGAGCATATATATTTTTAATTCATCTGAAGTGGGCTGTGTGTTGTATGTTGTGTGTGTCCGTCCAGACAAAGGGCTGGAGCAGAGAGGCCCAGCTGGAGTTCCTCAGCGTGGTGGGCTCGGCGGCGGTGAAGATGCGGCCCATGGGTCAGGACCGGGACTCGCTGCTGGTGGACCTGAGGAAGGCGCCCGTGGACCAGAGCAGCGACGTGCCCATCTCCATCAGGGAGTACCTGGTCTTCATCGAAGTGGCCAGGTGAAAAACTTGTGAAGAGCTTGTAGGTATTCATCTCATTCTGTTATTTATTGTTGTTTTTGCTTTCGTTGTTCCTGTGCTCTCAGGTTTTACTCTCCGGTGAACCTGGGCAGGTGGCCGCTGCTGTTCCACCCTCCTAAATACCCCGAGGTCAACACTGAGCTCGACGCCGTGGTGTCCCACATCAACAGCCCGGCCGACTTCTACGTCCAGCTGGTACTAAACATGCGCCATGTCTGTCGTCAGATGTACACATACATGTTCAAAGGAGAGCACTGAAATGCCCCCCCCCCCCCCCCCTCCAGGTTGACAACATGGAGTTTGTGTTGCTCTCAACAAAGCTTCAGGATTATTACAATGCGACCACAGTGAGTGCAGAAAAAGAACTCACCATCTACTGCCCGGTGATGGAGCAGGCCTGCGTGGCCCGCTACGAGGACGGGACGTGGTACAGAGCTCGGGTCGTAGGTGAGGGGGCCGAGGGGGGGGGGGGGTACTGGAGGCTACTGCTTATTAATGTTATGCAACAAATGTCCAGTTCATTAAAGAATTTTCGCCCCATTTTTAAGAAGCAGAATCATAAATCCTGGAGATATGGAACCATTTCTTTGCATGAATTGAAATATTTTCTCTTCCACGGATGCAAATGTGCGAATTTGAATCTAATCACACAGATTATGAAATTGGTGGTGTGTCCATTGTCACTTAGTAAAAGCCTGGTTCAGGAATTAGGATAAAAACTAAACCTTTGAGCCGCTGAATGAGAGTTGAGTAATCCAGGAATAATCCTCTGGTTCACAAACCACCCACAGACAAAATAACAAAGTCACTTCTTTTTTCAGCTCAAAATCACAAACGTGTTTTTTAGTTTTGTTTGAAGAAGAAAGGCCTTGTGACGTATCCGGGCTCTGCTTTGTCTCCCAAATAAACAATTGAGTAAATCACGTCTTCATATTGCTTATTACTGATATAAAAGGTAGATTTTGTGCTGTGATGCTTTTATCGTTGAACAGGTTGGATGCAAAGTTGCAGGTTTGCAAAAAGGCTGCAAAAATGTCCTGCATCTTTTAAAAAAAATTGCTTAAAAAATTCCATTGAATTCTTTAAAATCTCATCAAGTTTACTGTTTTAATCACTACGGTCTGTTGGGTGCTTGCAGGTCATCCAGGGGGCAGAAAGGTGGAGGTGCATTACGTCGACTTCGGCAATAAGAAGACTTTACCGGTCAGCGACTTGAGGAAGATCAAGGACGAGTTCTTCGCGCTTCCTTCCACGGTGAGAACTCACTCTTTGGTTTATCGCCTGTCGTTTTAACGGCGAGAAGTCTGCACCGCTGTAGCTCCGCCTCCTGGTGTCTGATACACACCCAGCTGTGTTGAGTGGACAGGAAGTGTCTCCTCTTCTGTCCAGGCCATCCACTGCTGTCTGTCCGGTGTGAGTCCTCTGGATGCAGAGACCTGGAGCGACGCCTGCAGGAACAGGTTCATCCGCTTGGCTCTCCAGAAACTCCTGACTGTCGTGGCTACAGGTGCTCAGAATGTCACCGTTTCTATACTTTGACCGATGCTGCTTATCAGTTCTTTTTGATTATACAAAAAATCAGAAAATAGTCAAATTTTCTTCATTATTATTGAATGTGAAGAAATGTATTTCTTGAGCATAGCAACATAAACCCCCCCGACTCTTTAGACTCTCAATCAATGACGTCAGTGATCTTGTTTCAGTGATTCACATCTCTGCCCATCATCATCATCACCATCACCATCACCACGGTTACCTGCTGCTCCACTGACGGCAGCACACTGATCTCACGTCGCGCTGCTGGTTCCTCTCTGAGTGAGTCTTTGTTTCCTTCCCTGTTCCCCTGCAGGAAACGTCCCAAAGGCCGAGCCGCTGCCGGTCAAACTGTTGGTGAGCGGCCCGAACGGCCCGCCGGGCGACATCGCCGAGCTGCTGGTCAGAGAGGAGCTGGCCTCCTTCAAAGAGGGGTGAGAGTTCGTCCTTGTGGGAGCAAGCGGCCATCATCAGTCGCAAACCGATGAGTGACGTCGCCGTGGCTCTTCCATCTCCTTCCTCGCGCAGAATCGAGTCAGCGGCGGCTGGCGAGGAGTTTGCCATATGGGACCCTCCCCTTGACCAGGCGTGGGTCCCGGAGGGCGGCGACGCCGCAGACCGGAGCTCCTCCGGGGAGAAGGAGGAGTTCCGGCTGAGGCTCCCCGATCAACTCAAAGACGTGAAAGTGCGAGTGAGCCACGTGAACTCGCCGGGCAGCTTCTACGTCCAGTTCACCCAGAACAACGCTCAGCTCAGGAGGTCAGCGCATGAATATGAAATGATTTAAATAAACTTGAAGGCGTTGTCCGTGTGCTCCCCGGAACTCTGGCTGTGTCTTTCAGGCTGTGCCAGCTGGTGGAGGAGGAGTGTGCTCTGATGGAGCCGGAGGAGGTGCTGTGGAAGGCCGGCATGTTCTGCGGCGCTCTCGTGGACGGGGTGTGGGAGAGGGGTCGCGTCTGCTCCGACGCCGCTTCCGCCAACTTCATCCAGGTGCCAAACGAGCAACAAACCGACATTTGGCCGCCGTCGCGTTTCTATGTTTCGTCTTCCAGTGACGGTTATGCACTAAAATATGTTATTAGATCATAATTCCTCCTTAACATCTATCCAATCGAATGTTATCAAGTCTTTTATTATTAATAATATCATTGATTACGCTCCCGTGTACCAGGTGATGCGCTGTGACCATGGCAACAAAGTGAAGCTCCCCGTCGGCAACCTGCGGTCCCTCCCGTCCTCCTTGACGGGCTCTCTGGCGTTGGAGTGCGCGCTCACTGACATCAGGTGACTCGCACGCGCGCACAGGCACAAGCGCCACTTATTGAAGACGAGACCGGACTTTTTGGATGTTGTCGATATTTCGTTCTGATCACCTGCTTCGCCAGCTGGATCCTCAACGTTAAAGGTTCCCTGCTTCCTCCTGCAGGCCGGCGGGGGGGTGCTCCACCTGGACGGCGACGGCCTGCGAGCTGATCTCCTTCTACCTCACCGGGGCCTCGGCGGTCCTGACCATCAAGGTCTTTCCCCCCCGCCCCACCCCAGTGCTCTCATTAGTTTAACCCATACGTACCGCCGTGTCTCACCCCCCCCCCCCTCTCGTTGCCCAGGAGGTGACTGGTGAGCCGGTACCAGTCACCCTGTTCTGCTCCAACAAGACGGGCGTGTTGGTCAACGTCGCCGACTTCCTGGCCGGCGAGGGCCTCGCCTTGAAGGAGAGGAAGCCCAGGTGTGTGTGTGTGTGTGTTCACTTCTTTAGTTAGTCAGTACTTTGCGTCCTCATTGTTGCTATGCAACCACTGAAGGAGTTGGAGCACCAGCTTAGCTTAACTGTTTTTCAAATAGTTATGACTCCATCTACCATTACGAGGAAGAAAACGTTGAGTCGCCCCCTGGTGGTCACCAGAGGGAATGCAGCTTTCACACGAAGCTTCTCTTTGTGTGTGTTTTCGTTCCTCATGCAGAGGTGCAGCCGTTCAAACATCCACGCAAACCGACGCCCGGCCTCTGGGGATTGAGACCCAGACGGACGGTTCTGACGGCGAGAAAAGAAAAGAACAAACTCCCTCAGCTCCGCCTGTCTCTGCCGCCGCCTCCGTGCCCCCCCGCGTCTCCGCCCCAAAACCAGCCCCCCGCACCATCATGTCTGCCGAGAAGGTGACCGTACACAAACGCACCTGGATTCTGTGTGAACTCAAATACATACAAGAGTCACATGGCTCATTTAGCCAAGTTCAGAACAATGTTTTTGAACACTCTTGAATACTTTTATATCGGATCCTCATGCTTTTCACGCCTTAAGAGAAGCCGTCCCGATTTACTCTCTATCCCTGTCTTTGGACAGGTGAAGACTGAGTTGTACCGCCCCCCCGAGCTGCCGGGCCTCGGCCCAATCCAGATGAGTGTTTCTGCCATCGGAGAGGACGGTGTCATCTACGGCAGAACGGGGACCGCAGGTCCACGCGCGTACAAATCCTCCAACATGTTCTTCCTTCTTTGACAATGTTTAGTTAAGTTTCTTCTCTCCACCAGCAGGTGTTTGGGACGTATGTGTCTCATTTTAAGTCTCTGTGATTTTGATTTTCATTGAAATCTAAAAGTGCTGCTCCTCTCATGACTAGAAGTAGAGAACTCAAACCGTTTTCTCTAAAAGCTAGTTTGATTCGTTTTGCATAAAGTGGGGAATCTAGTGTGTGAAACACTTGACGGAACCCTTCTCGCGATGTGTTCGAGGACCGTGGGGAAAAATGAAAATCCGACCATATACAGCTCGTTGTGGTGTCTTTGTCACACGGACTCCATCACGTCTCCATGTGCAGAACGTCTGCTGGAGCAGCTCAGGCAGCGGATCCAGCAGCGCTTGGACTCGCTGCCCGAGCAGAAGCCCTACACCTGGAAGTCGGTGCAGGGCTGCGCCGTCATCGGACCCGACATGCTGTGGTACCGAGGACAGCTGCTGGAGGTGCTGGGAGGACACGTGAAGGTCAGGAGGAGACGTGTTAGCCAACAGATGATGTGACCCCCTGAAGCTGAGTAACGGGGGGGAAGAATAAAAGTTTCTGTCAGAATTCATTTGACAAATTGTAAAACACTGAATCCTATAAGTGTTGGACGAATAAAGAGTACTTCTGTTTAGTAATATTGCAATTATGCAAATTAGACTGTAGGTACAGGAATAACGTGTGCGTGGTCTCCAGGTGCAGTACGTGGACTCCGGCCTGGTGGAGAACATCCCGGTGGTCCACGTTCACCCCATGCTGCTGTGTGCCGACGTCCCTCAGCTCTGTCTGCCCTGCCAGCTGCACGGCGTCGCGCCCGTAAGAGAGCGAGCGAGCGAGTGCATGCGTGTGTGCGCGTGTGTGTGTGTGTGTGTGTGTGTGCGCGGTACTGACGTGCCCTCTGGTCTCCTGAGGTCGGGGGGAGGTGGCAGCGGGACGCGGTGGCCTTGCTGAGGGAGCTGCTGCTGAACCGCTGTGTCAACCTTCAAGTCACGGTAGGACCACGCCAAGGGGGGTCGCACCTCAAAGCCTGAAACTGTGACGTAGTAGCAGCGAGGTGTGTGTCTGTGTGGGGGGGGGTAGGAGCTGCCCTCTGACCCGAGAGACCCCTTCACCGTGGAGCTCTACCTGGACGGGCTGAGCCTCAGCAGGATCCTGTGTCACCACCAACACGCCTCCGAGTGCGCCGCCTCGCCACAGGAGGTCCGTCTGCGTTTCTGTTTCCCAGCATGCCACAGCGCCACCTCGGTTCACCCGGACATGCGTGACTGTGTGTGCGTCTGTCTCTGCAGGGACGCGCTGACGCGTCTCCCGTCCTCCTCGTGGACGATTGGGACATCGACAGCAAGGTGCTGCTTAGAATGAAGACGGCATTTTAACAGCAACAAATCCGTGGCAGTGATTCACCGCAAAACTGTGTCTCCAGGACCTGAGGGACCCAGAGGAGCCGATGCTGGGGCCCTTCGTGTACCCCGACCTGCCTCGGGGTGGGGGGCGATTTGGAGTCCGGGTCAAGCACCTTCGGACCCCCAACGAGGTGAAAGTCACGTGATCTATTGACCAGGATTAGATGATTCAGCGGAAGAGGAGGAGTGATTCTCCTCTTTGTTCTGCAGCTCTTCCTGTGGCTGTCGGATGGAGCAGCCGAGGTGGAGGTGGGCGGAGAGACTCTGGAGGGGGCGCTGACCCGAGTCAACGCGGACGTCGGCGCCCTGCAGCCGCTCACCAGCTTCCGTCAGGGCGAGTCTCACCAGCTCGCCGTCCTTGATCCAATAACACGGGACTGAATATTTAGACATGATCGGGCTGCATAAATAGATCACATGTTTTATTTAGACTGTAGTTACAGATCACATTTTAGATTCTCGTGTTTTAATAACCGAACATTTCATTTATGTTTGTACAAAGAAGAACATGATGTAATGCGCTCAAACCTGCAGGCGGTCCGTGTCTGGCGGAATACAGAGACGGGAAGTTCTACCGAGCCAAGATGCTGAAGTTCAGCAGCGTGTCGCCCGTCTGCGTCCTGGTCCAACACGTGGACTTCGGCTCGGAGGACACGCTGCCCACCAGCAGGTCAGAAGCTCCGCCTCCGCAAGAGGACACTTATCGCCGTCCATGTGTGCAGTCATTTGAATTGAAAGTTATCGTTTGAGAACTTTCCTGAGGATGTGCTTTGGCTGGTGTTCCACTGATCTGGAGGTGTCTGTTCTGACGGGCCGTCGCTTCCTGTCAGGCTGCGGCGGATGCCCGGCGACCTGCTGCGGTTCCCGCTGCAGGCGCTGAAGGTCAAGGTGGCCGGCTTCAAGTCGCCGCGCGCGAGCGGGCGGGAGGACTTGCTGCCCTACAGCCCCGGCTGGAGCGTGGAGGCGGCCTTGAAGATGATCGACATGCTGCACGAGAGCATCACCGCCACCATCGTGGTGAGTCCACACGCGGCTCCTCCCCTTCTCAGGGAAGTGAAACGATAATCATTGATGGACCTCCGGTGGTTTCAGGCTCTGGAGCCCGAGCTCACGATGCTCCTGTACGACGAGGACCAGCAGCTGGTCCACCTCCCTCTGGTGAGCTGCGGGCTCGCCGACCTCGACTGACCTCCCGTGAGTCCCCTTTGCTGCGTTTGCTCATAATTTAGAGATGAAACCTTGACGTCTCTTTATGATCCTCCTGCAGGTTGCGAGCTGCTTTAACTTCACTCATTGGCTCTTCAGTTCCTCCACGTTTCAGGGAACCAGACTTTAATTTACCGTTTTGGCTCGTTGTGTTGTTTATTATGTTTATAAGGCAGATTGAGTACAACCTCCCTGCTGTTTCCTTTGTACTTAATAAAAAGACATGAACAGTGACATTAAGATCAGACTTTTATTTTACAAACATAAAAACAAAAGATAAGAAAATAAATAAGTATTTCACATTTTTACAAATTAAAATAGTAAACAAACACCGTAAACATTTGATTCATCCCAAACATTACGTTTGATACGTCATTGACCCCAAAATGCTGCACAAACAAGACCGAAGAACCGATTCGTGTCCCTGAAACATTAAAGGTGTCGTCTGGAGTTCCTGTTTACAGTGAATAAATAAACAATAGTGAGAACGCTATTTAAAAAGGCAGCAGCGCGGGAGACCGCTCATCGGGGTCCTACGCGCCGTTGTCCAGGACGACGTTGCCGTCTCGGTCTTTGACCCGCAGCCTCCCGTTGGGGTAGCGGGTCTCCTGGCGGCCGTCGGCGTACACGGTCTTGGCGGTGCCGTCGGGGTACTCCCTCCTCTTGTAGTTGGCCGTGTGGATCTCCTTCTGGCCCGTGTTGAAGAGGATCTCCTTCACGCCGTCCCTGAGAGAAGAGCCCCCACCAGGTCAGTTTGTTAGAGGTCGAAGCCCCCAGAGACAACAATAAAAGAAAATCAATCTTTTTTCCTTTTGTCATTATGGGGCGTTGAATGTATAATTGAATGATAACAATGGGGATACTTCCCGGATTTTAAAGGTCCAAAGGGGAAACGTACTAAGAATTCCATCCCATGAGTATCTGCTCGTAAGCTGGAGCCACACTGAGAACAAACTTCTTACGGGTTGACTTGGATCACGGTGCCGTCCGTCAGCACGCTCTCCTCCCGGCCGCTCGGGAACAAGTTCTTCACCGTCTGGTCCGGAAAGACGATCTCCTTCCGGCCATCTGGGAAATGTTTCTCTGGAGAAATACAGACGCAAGCGGAGGATTAATGTTCAGTTCAAAGGCCTCGCCGGTTTCTGACTCTTCATTACCTCGACGACCTTCTATTGTATTTGTGTACATTTGACAGATGTAGTTACTTTAAACAGCCAGCTGTTCTATTAAGTAGATCAAGTACTGAACGCTGATGGCGGCGCCTGTGAGCAGCGCTCACCGGTCTGGTTGTTGGGGAAGTGCAGGACCTCCATGCCGTCCGGGTACGTGACGTGGGTCGTCTTGGCCTCGGCGTAGAAGTAGATCTGAGAAGAGTCACCGGGAAGATTCAGAATCTAGAAATCATCTATTTAGAAAAGGCGACATTGTGCGGACCCCGTTGCCGTGGTTTCAGAAGTGCGTAGAGAATGAAAGCGCCCCCCCCCCCCCCCCCCCCCCCCAAACTACGGTTTGGTTTGTCCCCTTTGGTCTTCTGTAGAAACGTCCGTTTAAAGCAAGGACTCTTTGTTTTAAGGTGACCTCCCACTAGTGAAATCTATCCTCTGAAAAGTGGCACACCGGCCCGTTACGGCCCCCTCCGAGGTTCCTTACCACCCTCTGGTCGGCCGTCACCTCCTTGGTGTCCCCGTTGAAGAAGGTGACTTTGACCGTGAGCCCGTCAGCTGACACCTCCTTCTTGGTCCCGTTGTTGAAGACGATGAGTCGCCGGCCGCCGGCCAGAAGCGTTTCCTTCTGCAGAGAGAAGAACTACGGACTCACTTCTGATCACCTCCCTTCTCCCTTATCAGATTTACAATTCAGCAGATATTTCATTAATAACTGGCATGTTCCCCGTGTGTAGAAACCACTGAAGTGCCACTGTTAAATGACTCATTTTATCAATGGAGTCTGGTGGAAGCTCAGCTTCCTGTCTGAAAACATGCACATCATTCAACAGCAGTTCTATTTAACGTAGGTATCTTCAGGAAGCGGGACGGCACCGAGAAGGTCCTGAGCTCGACTCCGCCCACAGGCCTTTCTGTGTGGAGTCTGCGTGTTCTCTGCGGTACTCCGGCTTCCTCCCACAGTCCAACCTGACCCCTGTGCTCTGGGGGTCAGGTTGGACTGTGGGAGGTTGGACAGGGATTGTCCCCAGCCAGCGCCCCCCCCCCCTTATGAAGGATAAGCGGATTGGAGATGGATCTTCAGAAAGCCAGCGCAGGAGTCTCCGAACCGAGCCTCACCTTCCCGTCCGTGTTGGGGAGAACCTCCTGGACCTCGCCGCCCTCCGGCTCGCTTGGCAGAGACGAGCTCTTCTACAAAAGACACAAGACGTCAAACCGGGACGGCGGCTCAGAGGTCGCGGGGGAACCACCCTGGTGTCTCACCAGGTGCTCTGGGTCCGGCGGTTTGTCCTGGCCTTCGCTGCCGGGTGTCAACCGCTCGTCCGTCTTCCTGCCGGGCCACGAGGAGGACAAGGACGCGGTGGAGGGGAGGCACGTCGCCGACGGCCTCCTCAGGCTGCTCTTCATCCCGGCTGAAAGTTAAAGTACCACAGTCAGCAACTTTGAGGTGTGATCACTGAGAATAGAATGAAGGGACCAAAACCATCTTCAACTGGTCTCAGACCGAAACAAAACACAATCCATCAAATATGTTCAACATTCTGTGAGTTAATTAACCGTAATAAAAGGTTTCAATGTGAAACTAAAGAACAGAAAGGGACAAATAGATATTACAAAAATCATATTGCACCAAAGTTGTTATTGATCATCAAGTAAATGTCCAGCTGGTTGTCACGGAGGGTCCATCACGTGGGAGAAGTGTGAGATTATATTAAAAGATCGACGGTTAACTGGGTCTGAAACGTGTTCTAGCAGCCAAAGTGGGCCTGCGTCTGTTCATGCAGTTGTGTGTGAGCGTGAATGGAGAGTGAGCGTACCGGCGGCACCCTGACCCCCCCCACCGGAGCCCCCCCTGCAGGCTGCAGTGTCGCTGTGCGGAGGGCTGATCCTCCTGCTGATGGGTCCTCCTCCTCTGGAGTCCAGGGGACTCTGAGCACACACGTGGAGGTGAGATGAGGAGCTGATGCTTGTTTACTACTTTTAATATTACCAACAAAGAAGAACCTGCTTACAGCGAATTTCACTCCTTTGGTCACCGACGCGTTGTTCTCGCATGTTTTGGGACCTTCTTTTGTTTCTCGGTCCTTCTCTGCGTCCACGGGGTTTTTCTGCCAGGAGCTGAGCCGGAGCTTTTCCAGCACACGGATCTTTAATTACAGAGAGGACATACGCTCTTTACTAAAGACAAGAAGGACACGGCTGCCAAGGGTCAAAGGTCAGGGTTGGTACCTCGTCCCGTAGAGAGCCGTTCTCCTGGCTGAGGGAGTCTACCTGCTGCCTCAGCCGGCTGTGGGAGGAGGCCCAGCGAGTCTCCCTCCCCCTCAGCTCCTCCTGCAGAGAGCTCAGCTGCTGCTTCAGCGCCTGGCAGACGAGGACATACATTAAGGGACACGGACAACGGGTCATCAGACTGCTCGTGTGCCATTGTGAACTCATCATCTTTTTGCTTATTGGTTGGTTGGAGTTTAAAGGAACCACCGACCTGGATCTCCTCCCGCTCCTTCTTGTCAGGCACGGCTCTGGCGGCCGACGCGTGTTTCTCAAACAGCTTGCGCTCCTTCTGCAGCCTCCGGTTCTCCTCCTTCTTGAACTCCTCGAACTTGGCCAGCTCCTCCGCCTTCGTCTGCTCGAATTGTGACCGCTCCGTCCTACGAGAGAGGAGGCGACATGGCTGACGTGAAGTTGGACGCGATTTAGGACGAAGTCCAGAAGGAAGACATGGAGGGACCCGTCACCTGAGATGTTCCCGGTTCTTCTCGTTTTCCTGTCGGAATTTGGCGAGAGCGGCGTTCTCCTTCTTGAATCTCTCAATCTCGATCTCCAGCTCCACCAGTCTCTCCCTCAGCTGCCTGGACTGGACCTGCTGGCCTGGAGAGGAGGACACACACACACACACGTAAAACTGCCAATTAATGCAATATGTTTATATATATTTGACATATTTCTGATAAATACCCAAATTTCTATAAATTATTTGTAAGATCTCACATTTTTTAAGTGGTCAGGTTCCCTAAATGCCAATCACATCTACTTCCTGTCTGACCCAAACAGTGAGAATAAATAAACTAATGCGGCTTCTGATGATTAAAAGACTACAGATTGTTTGTCTCACCCGTCGTCTCCTCGGCCCTTTTGGACTCAGGAGGAGGGTGGAGAGGTGCATTCTGGGCCTTTGGCTTCAGCGAGGGGAACAACCTGGTCATGAGCTGCGAGGCGGGAGGAGGAGGAGCCGCGCCCTCGTCTGCCTCCGCCCCTTTGTTCACCGCCAGCTTGCTGGACAGAGTCCTCCCCGGCGGTGCGATCCCATCGGCCGGACCGGCTCCTCCCCCGTCATCGCCCGAGCCGGCGTCCTCCGGGTCGTTCCACGTGTCGTCGTCGTCGAACACGACCCCGTACCGCTGCCCGTCGCCGTCCTCGATCAGAGTTGACTCGTCGGGCCCGACGTCGTCGAGCGGCGTCCCGTCCGACGCCGAATCCCCGCCGCTCTCCTCGTCCTGATACGAGCGCCTGTCGTACGGCGGGTCGGAACGAGCGGGAAAGTGAAAGGTGCCGGGAAACGAAGGCGGTTGGACCCCCACTTCCTGCCCTTCGGACTCGCAGGTGGAGGCATCCGATTGCCTGAGCTCGTCCTCCACGCTCACTTTGTCCCCGACCGCGTCGTCTCTCGCCTTCGCTGCCAAAGCTTCTGAGGAGACGGAGCAGTTTGGAGCAGTTGGGCCGCTGCACCTCTGGATTGCACCTCTGGGCGGCGACTTGATGGGGGTGGAGGAGAGCCGACGTGGGTGCAGCCCTCCGTGCTGCTGGTCCAGCTGCAGAACCTGCCAGGGCACAAACGGTCAACAAGTCCCATGTATTAGGACACAAATCCAACATCTGAGATGAGAAGAACTCGGGAAGCTACAAGATGCTCCTCAGCGCCGATCACCTACAAATAGTCATTAGAGAGATTTGGGAAACTTTTATGAAGAGCTTTGCACAAACGTGAGACTAACGCTGCTGGAATGAGCAGGACCCAGATAACCAGAGAGGACACGTCGGGGAGAACTAAGCACCTTCATGACGAAGGAGGAGTTGGAGGAGAAGGACAGCTCCTCGGCCGCTTGCTCCAACAGCTCGAACTCTCCCAGCTCCACCGTCTCCAGCTGCTGGTCGCAGTCCCAGCGCCGCAGCTTCTCCTGGAACGACACCTCGAAGGACTCCCCCAGAACGCCGTCTCCTCCCCCTGCCGGTTGCCCCTCCTCCGGCTCTCTCGACGCGCCCACCTGTTTGGCGACGGGGTTTGGCCGCGGTGCGTCCGCCCCGCCGCTCCTCTCGACCCGAGCTGTCGAGGCCGCGTCCTTTGGCCTCCACGGCCGACGCGGTTCGGCTCGCGTCCTGTCCGGCTCGCCGTCAACCGTCTCCGTGTTGCGTCTCTGCTGGCTCGCCAACACCTTCGTCCACGCCGCTTTGGTCTCCCCTCTGAGGTCCCGGGGCGGCGAACAGAGACCTCTCGGGCGGTTTTCCTTGTTGAGTGTGGCGGTTTTGCGCTGGACGGCGAGCCGCTGGATGGCTGCAGGCTCAGAGCTGCTGCGGCGGAGCGCTCTGGACGGGGGTTTTGGTTTGGTGTCATTCTTCGCCCCCATTTTCGGTGGCGGAGCTTTGCGATTGGCGGTAAATCTCAACAGGCCCTCGCCTCGCTTCAAATAGGTCCTCTTGGGGGGGGCTTCAGCGCCACCGTGGGTCTGTGGGGAGACACAAATAATTTGTAATCTTCCTCTGTAATTCTTTTAGATATCAAAACTTCCTTGAATGTACAAATATGAAGAGATACGTGCTTTTGAATCATCTACTTATTGACTTGTTGCTTGTTTTATTCTCTGACCTGCGGTTGCCAGGCAGACTTCAGCCTCTGCTCCTCCACCCTCATCTGCTCCTCCAGCAACTCCTCAAAGGTCTTCTTCTGACCGCAGACACCCAGCCGTATGGGTCTGGGAGAGGAGGCACACGAGGCACTGATACAAAGCTGTTTACAACAGAGCCACACAGGCAGGTTTGTCTTCCTGGGAAGCATTTACCTGTCATGGAAGACGTCTTCTTCTCTGCTGCTGCTGTGTTCAGTCAAAGCCTCACCATTACTCGCTATCAGCGTGTCATCATGCTCCTGAAAATGAGTTCTCTCAACACCGTGTTCCTGATCTTCTCCTCCGGAGCTCCACGAGCCTGCAGTAAACCAACACTGTTCATTCAGAAGAAAGGAAGAGCGCCGACTGTTCTACTCCAAATGAAAAGAAAAGCTTCACAATGCTGCCGTCACCGTGAGGTGAACGAACATTTTCCTCACCCTCTGCCTCATCGTCCACCTCCTCACAATCCGGACCTCCTGGTAGCCCTTCCAGAGTCTGTGCAGGTGGGGGCTTTTGCTGCTGTCGGAGGCCCAAAGTGACTTCATGGTAGTTCGTGGTGGGGCTGTGTGGGGTTTCCCTGGAATCCCAACCTGCACCTAGAAAATACACACGCACATATAGAGGAAAGAGCGAAGGAGGACGGAAGCAGGACAAATCTTTGCGCTTGGAGTTATCTTGGTAAACTGTCTCTTCTTAACCTTCTGTGCCGTGCTGCAATCCATTCGTCATTCCCAGCAGCCTCTGCTGCTCGGCCTGGAGGTGAAGCAGCTCCTCCAGCTGGTGGGCTTTCAGCTGCTCCTGCATGTGCTGCTGCCACTTCCTCAGCTGCACAAACACACAACATCATGTCTCTCACATCACCCCCTCTGACACGGATTCCATTTCAGTGGTTTCCAACACGCTAACGTTTTTGTTGCTGTCCCCCCTCACTTGCACACTGTCTGCACGCACATCAAAAAAAGGCCGACTGACTTGAACGCACAGACTTCCGCCATCGTTTGAGTCCTTTGCAACATAAATGGCCTCAGAAGAAAAAAAGCTAAGAATAGTACATGTGGGGCAAAGAGAGAGATGGAGTCGGGGGTATTGAGTCAACAGGAAGACCTGAACCTGGAAGTATGTCCAGTTGTGCTTTCTCCAGGTCACTGTAACTTAAATACCTCCAAGTTTCAATAGAATTAACGTATGTTAATTGATGAAAAATCTGCCTCTTTTGTGATATATGAATTATTATACATCTGTACCGGGCATTTGTCGTAAAAAATCTAAACCAAAAACGGGCACTGATGGGTTTGTGGTTTACACAGACCAAAAAGTTCAATGTCCAATTTTAATTTATTTTAATTTAACAAAACAAACAAAAGAAGAGAGAAAATCCTTTGGGCTTCGTCTCCTGCACAACATACCCCCCCAGTGCGTGCTGGTGCTGTACCTGCCTACTGATACACATCACCACAGCGTTACCCAGACAAAGTCCTCACCTGCTCCAGCTTCATCATTACGGGCATGTCCTCTGACGCGCTCGCCATCGCATCCACACCGTCCGGCCCACCGTTCACCGCCCCGCCGGTCCCGACCTTCTCTCCTCCGGGTGACCGCTCGGATCCATCCACGCCGAGGCAGCTGCTGTCCGCGGAGCCCGGCAGAGGGGCGAAGTCCGAGGCGAAGGAGTCGTCCGGCTCCAGGGAGGCGGATCGCCCCCGCGGGGAGCCAGCCAGGTCCGGGCAGGGACTGAGGATCACCCCGGCTCTGGAGCTGCTCGGCATCCACCGGGCGAAGAAGTCCGCCTGCGAGTACCGAATCCCGGCTGGAGATGACATGGTGACCGCGCTGTCTCAAGCAGGACTCGCTAATCCGGGATTGGAAACGGCAGATTATGATGGCGACAGGTTAATCACACTGCGAATTAACGCCGTGCCACGCACGACAGATGCCAGGTCCCGGAACACTATTTATAAATAAGTATCCGGTTTAGGTTGAATTAGCATTAGCTTGTTAGCATGTTTCGACCGCAGTGCGTCGGTTTGTTTGGTTAGCAACGAAACAACAGCTGTTTAAGAAGGCGAAGCGGCTGAATCATTAACAGAGTCACAACAAGTTTAAAACAACACGAAACTTCCAATTCCGTTACAGTTATGCGATGTTCTACCGACGTCTTTTTTCATTTTTCGGTGCATTTAAAGGGATTTCTGGTATTTTTCTTGTTAACGAGCTTCTTCTGATCAAAAACAACTTTGTTCAACCGGCGTTACGCTGCGGTGACGAATACATCGGCGACGTTAATATCTGAGTCAAAACATGTTATATTCACCTGTAACATCGGCGAAACGTGCTGTTGCTGGAGGGGAAAAGTGCGTTATTGAAACATAACTGACGTAAGTTTCAAAGACTGCCGCCATGTCAAAACAAAGCCCGCGAGAGCGAGAAAAAACCCGGCGACGAATAATTTGTTGCATGATGGGTAGTGTAGTTTCATCCTCTTCTCCTGTCTCTACGTCTCTACGCTATTTGTTACAAGTGTTTTTGTTCCTTACGCGTTATTATCACATTCAATATATATAAACACCTGACGCCTTTCTTGTTACAACTTACATAATAAAATATTACTTTTGGGGGGAAAGCGAGCTTCGTATTGCATCCGGTCTAACGACGCGGCACAGACAAATTGCAAAATAAAAGCGAAGGTTGTAATACGATCTCCCGCACCGTTAAGTTTTCTAATTGTATGCTAAGGTTATTACGTAATATACTTTGTATTGTATATTTAAACGGGGTTATAGCCCTACTTCTTTGCAAATCATAAGTGATTTGTATTACCTCATTAGAACGTCGACCTTTACACTGACATGTAGCTACCGGATGTGCTTTGGGACTGCTGCGATTGGTCGATACGAAAAAGTTCAGTTTGCCCATTGTGACGGTGCGCTGGAGCTGCTGCACGATGGAGAAGGTTCTATGCGACGTCCACGGTAAGTCTCACTAGGTTACAGTTAGCTAACTGTTGGTTACAGAACACAACGCTGGATGATCCGTGTGTTTCCCAGCAGACAAACCGCCTTTTTCTACGCTTCTCCGTTGCAGTCCTGTAGTGAAAATACGTTTTGTTTATTTTTTTTATGATTTTGTCAATAACTCGTGCTCTTATGTCTCCATACAGGTAGCGTGTGCATGTTAAAAACTGGCGTTAAAGATGGACCAAACAAAGGCAAAAGCTTCTATGTCTGCGTTGACAAGCAGGGCTGTGATTTCACTCATGTGGCACGGTGAGCAGACCATTAATCCTTCCATTTATAAGAAGCCTGGGGACACTGTAGTCCAACCCAGAAGTGTCCAGAAATGTTAATAATACTCAATCCACCTCAGTCACTTCATACAACCCGGGTACGAGTCTGACAATTGTCAAAGCACAACTGGTGATTATTTAATCAGGAATCCGGAAACATTTATTGCCAAAATATGTCAAACATACAAGGAATTTGTCGTGGCGGTTGGTCCGTGACAGTAAACAGTTTAACAATAGACAAACAGCAGTGCACAAGTAATAGAATAAAATGAAATGATAATGCAATGGGTTAGTAGAATAAGGCTATGGGTTAGTATAAAACAAGAATAAAGTTAAAAACTAAAAATATTTAAAAAGTTAAATATTTAAAAATAAAGTGCACTATCGAACAAGTGACAAAGTGACGACAAAGTGAGAAATGACAGTTAAAGTGGCGTGTGCAGTATGAAGGGGAGTGACCGGTGGAGTGTTATAGTCAGGCAGTGGGGGACCGGCTCTGTTGATGAGCCCGACTGCCGACGGGAAGAAACTGTTGGTGTGGCGGGAGGTCTTAGTCCTGATGGACCTCAGCCTCCTGCCAGATGGAAGGGGCACAAACAGGTTTTGTCCGGGGTGAGAGGGGTCGGCTACCATCTTTTTAGCTCGCTTCAGAGACCTGGAAGCGAACAAGTCCTGCAGGGACGGCAGATTGCAGCCGATCAGCCTCTCTGCAGCCTGCCCTCGTCCTTGGCTGTGGCTGCAGCGTACCAGACGCTGATGGAGGAGCAGAGGATGGACTCCATGATGGCCGTGTAGAAGTGCACCATCATCGTCTTTGGCAGGTTGAATTTCTTCAGCTGCCTCAGGTGAATTGTAGAATTATATGTTGCTGTTTATCATCTCCTCCAGAATCTCACCATCCAACTGCCTCCAGCACGAAGACTCGATGGTGGAACTCCAAGCGCTCACCTACAGTCTGCAGCAGCAGAGCCACAGGTGGATTCCTTATTTCTTTTGCCTAAACAAGTCACTGCTGTACACTCTCCACCTCCTTTCTTCTACCGACTACGAACCTCTTCTGGAAGAAGCTAGCGGTCATCAAGCTGCTGCACGTTAGCGTTTAGCGCTCTAATCTGTCTCATACTGCATGTTTCATGATGGTCGTCTCTGTGATTTTCATTATATTTTATTTTATCTATCTCTTCTCCTATCCAGGTTGTTCTACAGGTGCATTGTGGGTAAAAAAGCTGCCCAGAAGTGGTGTGGAAACGTTCCGTGGCGTGCGGTAAGACAACGCTCCCGTCACAGATTCCACCATACACCTTTTTTATTTGTATTTATTTGTGTGTTTTTTTAAATCACTGCACATATAAAAAGTCAGGAATTCCTTGTTCTGTCTCTGCTTTCCATTTTTTTGAAATGTCCGTCTCCTCCCGTCCTTGCAGCCCGAGAAGGAGAAGAGGAACCCTTTGTCCCACGCGCAGCCTTCTTGCCTGCCGCCCGTCCGGAACCCCTTCAAAGCCTCCGGCAAGACGGACGCGGACTCCGAGTGGAGGAGGATGCAGCGCGGTGGAGGGGGGGAGGATAGAGACGGCGGTGAGAGTCACGGGGCCGAAGGGGGAGGGAGGCATCAGAAAGAGAACGTGGAGGGCGTCGCTGCGGGAGAGCGGGAGGCGGAGTCCTACCGAGGCAAACAGCTTCCGCCGGGAATGAAGCTGAAGAAGAGAGTTTCCAATGAGGAGGAAAAGCGGCCCAAAGCGAGCGGTGGGGGGGAACCAAGCGACGCCGACGAGGAGCCCGGCGAGGCCCGACAACCGACCGAAAGAGTCAAGGATACCGGAGAGAGCGACTCGGATAGCAGAAAGAACCCGCCCCCATCGACCCAGGCAGCGCAACCAGAGCCCAGCCGACCTCCGGCCCTCCAGGTCCATGACGACGACGAAGACGATGTCGTGGTGGTGTCGGTGAAACCGGCGACTCAGAGAACGCCGCCCGTCTCTGCCGTTCAGAAGACGCTGACCGCCTTCGCCGGGTTCCAGCCGGCGTCAAAGGTCAAAGGTCAGCAGCAGGACCCCGGAGGTCTGCACGGCCTGCTCACAAGTCGACTCCAGCAGAAGAAGGTGAGGGACGTCACATGAGTCTCCGTGGTTAGGGACGTTCTTTAGTTCAAAAGGAGGAGAACCAAGCAGACTGAGGACTGGAAGAGACAAAGTCCGTCGGCTCAGCGAAGGAAGCATAGGAAGCAACAAGGACAGGAAGTCATATGCGAAGGAAGCAACAAGGACAGGAAGTCATAAGCGAAGGGAGCAACAAGGACAGGAAGTCATAAGCGAAGGGAGCAACAAGGACAGGAAGTCATCAGCGAAGGGAGCAACAAGGACAGGAAGTCATAAGCGAAGGGAGCAACAAGGACAGGAAGTCATAAGCAAAGGAAGCAACAAGGACAGGAAGTCATAAGCAAAGGAAGCAACAAGGACAGGAAGTCATAAGCAAAGGAAGCAACAAGGACAGGAAGTCATAAGCAAAGGAAGCAACAAGGACAGGAAGTCATAAGCAAAGGAAGCAACAAGGACAGGAAGTCATAAGCAAAGGAAGCAACAAGGACAGGAAGTCATAAGCAAAGGAAGCAACAAGGACAGGAAGTCATAAGCAAAGGAAGCAACAAGGACAGGAAGTCATAAGCAAAGGAAGCAACAAGGACAGGAAGTCATAAGCAAAGGAAGCAACAAGGACAGGAAGTCATAAGCAAAGGAAGCAACAAGGACAGGAAAGTCATAAGCAAAGGAAGCAACAAGGGACAGGAAGCGCGATAAGCAATATGATCGTCTTCTCGTCCTTCAGGGTTCTGCAATTCATTCACATATCGAGATACACGTTACTTTGTGTGAATTGACTAAAAGAGAACTTAAAAATGTTCATGTGTTAATTCCCTCTTTTTACTTAAGCCCCCCCCCCCCGGTTAAGGCGACCTTGTCGGCGGTGAACGTGGCGGCTCTGCCCGACAAAGGGGAACGCCTGAAGTCTCAGGTGAAGGAACTGCAGGACGCTCTGGAGTCTCTGAACCTCGCCGCTCCGTCTCCACCCGCAGGCTCCCAGGGTGGAAGTAACCGCGGTGAAACCGATCTGGAGGTCAACCCCTGCCGGCAGGGCGGCACCATCCTGCTCCACGCGCCCCCGGGCCCCTCCCAACAGCAGGACCTCCACCTGAGTCAGGGCTGCACCCAAGTCTACGGAGGTAGGCCCAACACCGGGGGGGGGGGGGGCTGTCAACGCTGTTATTGTTGTTATCTTTGTCATTGTTTATTTATTATCATTAATTCACAAAAAGAGATCAGCAATAGAAAAGGCAGAACTGGTCCTTTGCTTCTATGGTCGAGTTATTAATTGCATTCTTTCATGCTCTTTGTGTGTTGTTTAATAAACAACCTATGATTCCCCAGCCGGCCCTCAGGCCTTCTACGGGGGCCGGATGACCGACGACCGCCTGCTGGCCGTGAAGAACGCCACCAGCGAGACCATCGACCACCTCCACAAGTCTCTGGAGTCCTGCCCCGACCCCGAGGCCGAGTTCCCGGACCCCAAAGGCATCAAGGTCGCGACCCCGAAACGCCACACAGGTTGTCTCTCGAGGAGCGCGTTGCCGCGGTAACACTGTGCTCTTGTGATTGGCTACCAGGTGCCGCTCCTAGCCCACCAGAGGAGAGCGTTGGCCTGGCTGCTCTGGAGAGAGAACCAGAACCCCTGCGGAGGAATTCTGGGTAAGTTGAGCTTTTTCTCTACTGAAGGTGATGTGAAGTAGACTTGATTACAGCGGCGTAAATAAGCCTTCTTATACGAGGATGACGCCTAACAAGAGTCCTCATGGTCCCAAATCCTTCTGTTGCCCTCTGCATTCAGCGGATGACATGGGTCTGGGGAAAACCTTGACCATCATCGCTCTCATCCTGGCCAAGAAGACCAAAGCCAACAAGGAGGCGGAGACCAAGCCGCAGAGCTGGATCTCCAAAACCGGTAACTCCCGTTTCTCACCGTGCACTGCGCATCTAAAAGGACATAAACAGCAGAATTCAGAGCGTGTGGATGTGTGTTGTCCCTCCAGACTCCAGCCTGGTGGCTTCTACAGGAACCCTGATCATCTGCCCCGCCTCCCTGGTGCACCACTGGAAGAGGGAGATCGAAAGACACGTGAAGACGGGCAAGCTCATGGTGTACCTGTACCACGGCCCCCAACGCGAGAAAAGAGCCAACGTGTGAGGGACCCAACCAGTGAAGCTGCTGCTTCATGTGTTAAAGCTGCATTCTGTGTAGTGGCCAGCAGGGGGCGACTCCTCTGCTCCCATAGACGTCTATGAGGAAATGACTCTACTTCTCTGTAGTGACCAGCAGGGGGCGACTCCTCTGCTCCCATAGACGTCTATGAGGAAATGACTCTACTTCTCTGTAGTGACCAGCAGGGGGCGACTCCTCTGCTCCCATAGACGTCTATGAGGAAATGACTCTACTTCTCTGTAGTGACCAGCAGGGGGCGACTCCTCTGCTCCCATAGACGTCTATGAGGAAATGACTCTACTTCTCTGTAGTGACCAGCAGGGGGCGACTCCTCTGCTCCCATAGACGTCTATGAGGAAATGACTCTACTTCTCTGTAGTGACCAGCAGGGGGCGACTCCTCTGCTCCCATAGACGTCTATGAGGAAATGACTCTACTTCTCTGTAGTGACCAGCAGGGGGCGACTCCTCTGCTCCCATAGACGTCTATGAGGAAATGACTCTACTTCTCTGTAGTGACCAGCAGGGGGCGACTCCTCTGCTCCCATAGACGTCTATGAGGAAATGACTCATGATGCATGAGCATGATGTTCATTTAGAGTCACAGACCATAAAGCAGGACCACATTGAACCGTGACTAAACCAGCATTTGCTGACTTGAATCAAGAGTTCACTCTTTTTCTCTTTCTGTCTCGCAGGCTGGCTGATTTTGATGTGGTGGTGACCACATACAGTTTAGTCTCTAAGGAGGTCCCGGTCCAGAAGGGGGGCGCTGAAAACTCCAGCAAAGATGCGGATGAAGTGGTGAGTTATTTATACCTCCCCTTTCTAGTTCTTATAGAGAACCCCTCTCACGCGTTGTCTGCGTCCCACCCTCCCCCAGCCGTCCCGCTCGGCTCCTCTGCTGCGGGTCGCCTGGGCCCGCGTGGTTCTGGACGAAGCCCACAACATCAAAAACCCCAAAGTGCAGACGTCCATGGCCGTGTGTCAGCTGAGGGCTCGCGCCCGCTGGGCCGTCACCGGAACGCCCATCCAGAACAACCTGCTGGACATGTACTCGCTGCTCAAGTAAGCGCACAAGGGGCCGCCAGCATGGAGTCGCGCGTTGGCGTCCTCCTCACGGCGCGTCTCCGTCCCCTCAGGTTCCTGTGCTGCTCCCCGTTCGACGAGTACAAGGTGTGGAAAGCTCAGGTGGACAACGGCTCCAACCGAGGCCGCGAGAGGCTCAACATCCTGACCAGGACTCTGCTGCTCCGACGGACCAAAGCCCAGCGCGACTCGGAGGGGAAGCCGCTGGTAAGGAGACGGGCGCCTTCGCCGCATCACGGCGGCCACTGATGGTGAGATCACACGAGCTCTCTGCTTCCAGGTGTCTCTTCCCGGTCGGACCTGCGAGGTGCATCGACTCGAACTGTCCCGGGACGAGCAGGCCGTGTACGACGTGGTCTTTGCCCAGTCCAGGTACAACGGGGGGGGGTACAGTGAAGGTTGTCATGGCGACGTCAGTGGTCGGTTTGGGGGTCCAACGTTTTGAAAGCCTTGAATTTTGAGTTTTTTTGCCGTTGTACCTGGATACAGGCGATGAAAGCGAATTGATTGTCTCTTTCCCTCCAGGTCGACTCTGCAGAACTACCTGAAGAGACACGAGGGGAGCGACGGGAAGGGAGACGCTCGCAGCGCCAACCCCTTCGACAAAGGTCAGACGCCCATGAGCTCAAACGTGCAAATGAGGTATCAAATGTACCTAAATAATAACACTGTGTGTGTGTGTGTGTGTGTGTGCCTGTGTGCGCCCCCCTCAGTGGCGCAGGAGTTCGGTGTGTCTCAGGCGGCGTCAACTTCTCAGCAGGCGTCCAGCACCGTCCACATCCTGTCCCTGTTGTTGCGCCTCCGTCAGTGCTGCTGTCCCCTGTCGCTCCTCCAGAAGGGGGAACACACACACACACACACACGCACACACACACCTTCACATCCATGCAAGTTGCATAAAGGGTTCTGATGCCCCTGCCCCCCCCCCCCCCACAGACTCTGGACACCTCCGAGCTGCAGGGCGACGGCGTCGTCTTGTCTCTAGAGGAGCAGCTCAACGCTCTGTCTCTGTCCTCGGGCCCCTCCCCCGGGTCGGACCCCCTCCCCCCCGGCACCGTGGCCCTCAACGGAACCCGCTTCGCCTCTCGCCTGTTTGAGGACACCAGCGAGAGCACCAAGGTGGCCCCCACCTTACTGAAGAAGCCTTCTATAAATCCTTTCAGTTACTCTGTTCCCATTCCTGGACTAATATTATACATATAATATTAATGACGTCACGCATGCGCAGGAGATGACCGAAGCTAATGCTAATTAGCCTGTGTGTGCGTGCACATTGCGATCCACCTCAGGTGGTTTATTGAACGCGTTCTTTTATCAAACAAAACTAATCCATGTTTATAACAACAAACACACAAACCTTGATTCATAAGATCAAGAAATTAACTCCAATTTTTCTAGATTGCTGCTATCGTCTCCGAGCTGAAGGCGATCAGACAGAAGGGAGCGGATCAGAAAAGGTCAACATTAACTCCACCTTAACGTGTGATCTGAGAGGGCTCCACCGTAACGTGCGTCCTCTGGTCCCTGTGCAGCGTCATCGTGTCCCAGTGGACCAGCATGCTCAGAATCGTGGCGGTTCACCTGCGCGGGATGGGCCTCAGGTACGCCGTCATCGACGGGACCGTCGCCCCCAAACACCGCATGGACCTGGTGGAGGAGTTCAACAGCAACGCCCGCGGGCCGCAGGCGAGTCTCCGCCCACACGGCCCAACGCGGGTTTCCTTTAGGGGGACTGGAGGTTTAGTGGAGGGATGAACAGAGATGGCTGACGCCGTGTTTAAGTTGACCTCGCACAAGGGTTTCTGCCTGAGGCGGCGGGACGTTGACCGCGCGGTGGGGTTCTTTGGTCCTCAGGTGATGCTGGTGTCTCTCTGTGCTGGAGGGGTCGGCCTGAACCTCATCGGTGGGAATCACCTGTTTCTCATCGACATGCACTGGTGAGCCGCTGGACGAGTCTGTGTGAAGCATCCTGCCTATTTATTCACTTTGCTTCTTTCTCTTCAACTCGACGTAAAATGTTAATGGAATTGTTCTTTACACACATCAGCTGATCCTTTTCTTGTTGCTAATAGTGACATCCGGTTCAAACTGAATTCTTTTGAGCATAGCAATGATTGTTGTTGTTGTCTTTGACCCCTGACCTCTGACCCGCCCCCCCTCACAGGAACCCGGCCCTGGAGGATCAGGCCTGTGACCGTATCTACCGGGTGGGACAGAGTAAAGACGTCACCATCCACAGGTGAGGAGTCGCAGGCGGAGGTGTGTTTATATGAATTGGTGAATCCTGAGATCACGGCGTGAGTCCTGGTTTAAAACCAGGCTGAGCAATAATAACAGAAACCAAGCCGGCTGAATGCAGAGATGTTTAATGTTCCGGCCCTTTGTGGAAGCAGCTCAAAGAAGAGCCGGAGGATCTGAGGCTCCACGAAACCATGTGGTGCTTTTTTTTAAAAGTCTCCCGCTTTGAGGATGTTTTGTCGGACGATAAAAGGTCCCCTCTGCCCCCCGTTTTCATACTGACGTGTCCTCAGGTTCGTGTGTGACGGCACGGTGGAGGAGAAGATCTCCACCCTGCAGGAGAAGAAGAAGGAGCTGGCCCAGAACGTGCTGTCGGGAACCGGAAGCACCGTCTCCAAACTGTCGCTGGCCGACCTCCGGATCATTTTCGGGGTCTGAGAAGAGAAGGAGAGAGGAAGGCTAAAGGGCTTCTTCTCCTCACAGTGGTGATGGTTCCTTCCTCCCTCTTCTTTATCCAGAGCAGGTTTTTAAATCGTTATTGGACTTTATGCGCCTGTATTTTTATTTCTGTTGTTCCTTTTGCTTAAGTTGTGCTCTCTGCATCTGTTCTCTCTGCTTCGGCTGAACTGTTTTGACTGCATTTCCCTTGTTGAGATGAACAGGGTTCAACTTTTTGTTATATCTTTGTTTATTCGCCTGATGGAGTTTGTTTTCAAAGCATTTTTAAAACGTCATTAAGTATTCTGTATTTTATTTGTTGATTTCATTAAATTCAGGTAATGCTGCTCATGTGTCGACTTGTACTTTTTAAGATATATTTCATCTTAACATCATATATGAACCTAGGGTTTGAAATGTACACTAAACAATGGTAGTGTATTTTTTTTGTAATAATATTCAGGATACCTTCCAACAGGTAAATTCAATAACTTGGCTATAGTACCTCGCTGATTGCACATTTATTCAACAATATGTGTGAGATTATGAAGAACGTTGCACTTTTTGAAATGATGTTGTTGTGTGTCCGCTGTACATGTTGTTGTTGTGTGTCCGCTGTACATGTTGTTGTTGTGTGTCCGCTGTACATGTTGTTGTGCTCTCTGGTTCCACCGTGTTTGCAATGCTATAAATCCACTCAATCCTATGATGCATTTAGGGGACCTCGGAAATTTGGGTTGCAAACGTGTGGCATTAGGAAATAGTAGAAAACAGGGTGGGATTCAATCCACGCGTTGTCAAATTGAAATCCATTCAAATGAATGATTTGGTACTTGGACACAAGTGGCCAAGATATAGCTCAAACCAAAAGATTAGAAATGACCATGGTCTTAACCACCTGTGCCAGTGGTGTAGTCTATATTTTTGTTGTGAGTATACTGTGATTTTTCTCCCAGTGTCACACTCGTCCGTCCCAGAGCGGGGTGGTTAAGATCGGTTTCTTGCCGATACGCTATTAGCGGTGCATATTAAATTAAATACATCCCAAGGAAACTTTCCCCCGCGGACAAACTTCCAACGGAAAAAAGGGTTTGAAAACCGATCACGAACGCGATTTAGAAATGAACGATTTTCGAGTGTCACTCAAACGCGGCTTGGTGAGAGCGGGCGGGCGGTCGCCGGACTCCGCGCCGGAGAACCGCTGAGCCCGCAGAGCTAACGGGTACTGCCAGCGACGACAGCCGAGCACCCGCCGCGGCCTCTCTCTCCCCCCCACCCCGTCTGACCCCCACCCAAAAAAACAAACAAATAGCTTGTAAAGCAAAAAACCCGCAGCCATGGCGGCTGAGGCGGACAAGGTGGAGCCGGCGGACAGCGAGCAGGACGAGGAGGAAGACGTGTACGAGGTGGAGCGGATCATCGACATGCGAGTGGAAGAGGTAACAGCTAGCTAGCTAGCTATTAGCATTAGCCACTTAGCCTTCGGGCTAGCTCTGCAAAACATGGCTCCGCTCTCACGACGCGTAGCCCGGGCGCTCCACCGCACGGACGGCGTGTCCCGGGTGCATTGACCTCGGCCGTGTTTAGCGGCGTTTTTCGTTGTTGGTTTTCCTCTTTGGCCCCGTGCGGTGTCCTCTCCGGGCCCGGGACGGACGTCTTTCAGCCTTTGACACCATCGTCGTCTTTGCTGCTTTCGCCCGACCGGCCACAACAAATGCAGAGAGCGGTCGGGAATCAGGGACGTTTATTGCCCAGATGTGTTCGACATGGCGGTTGTTGCGTAACATTGGACAGTGAGACAATGACAACAAGACAAATAGCGTGTCGGGCCCGTTGTGTGTGTTGGTCTCAATGGCAACGACACACCGGATGTTGTCAGACGTTCCTTAGATAATAATTACCTCCTGTAACTCACTTTAAATAAATATATGTATATATATTCTTTTATTTAGTGAATGGTTCTCCCACGTTTAGTTCATTATATGTCAGCTGAGGTTCAATTTCACATTATTACACAATATTAAAGTTACCATTTACATAAATGATAAACATCAGCGTGTTGCATTAAATGCTGAACAAGTCTAATCAGGATAGTATTAATAATCACAGTTTATAGATGTTTATCAGTTCTGTTTGTTGCGGGTGATCACGTGGTTAATTCCCTCTTTTGTACACTTTGTTTACTTTCTGCAGCCGTGATTCTGAATGTGAAGTGCGAGACGTAAATGTCACTAATAAATGGAACAAAACATGTCAGACTTTTTACAATTACAACGACCCAGAGATGGTGTTGTTTCGACTTCTACTAAAACACTATTTTAATCCACCCAGTTTAAAAAAAAACCTGATTCAGGGTCATGTGACCTCTTAGCAGCTCTGACTGCGTCAATGAGCAAATATAAAATAGGGATTTAGTCTGTCAATCATTGTGCGAGAGTCGCGGCAAGCAACTTCCTCCTGTCACTTCACAATAAAAGCCAATAAAATATTAGGAGAGCACTGCGTTGCTCTAAACGCTTCCTTTAATCTTGTAAACTGAGGTCCGGCTTCAAATCGTCTCTCCCTGTGTGTGTGTTTTGGGTTTCCAGGGCGAAGTGCTCTACAGGGTTCGGTGGAAGAACTACTGCTCTGACGATGACACCTGGGAGCCCGAGGCCCACCTGGAGGACTGCTGCGAGGTCCTCTTGGCTTTCAAGAGGTCCATGGCGGAGATCAAGGCCAAGAAGGACGCAGAGGCCAGGAAGAGCTTGGTGAGTCTGAGTGGCAGAATATCACCACACCATCTAATTTAACCCAGGAGGACACCCCAGGGTCCGAAACATGGAACAAAGCTCCTCTGCTCCCATAGAGGTCTATGAGGAAATGACTCTACTTCTCTGTAGTGACCAGCAGGGGGCGACTCCTCTGCTCCCATAGACGTCTATGAGGAAATGACTCTACTTCTCTGTAGTGACCAGCAGGGGGCGACTCCTCTGCTCCCATAGACGTCTATGAGGAAATGACTCTACTTCTGTGTAGTGACCAGCAGGGGGCGACTCCTCTGCTCCCATAGACGTCTATGAGGAAATGACTCTACTTCTCTGTAGTGACCAGCAGGGGGCGACTCCTCTGCTCCCATAGACGTCTATGAGGAAATGACTCTACTTCTCTGTAGTGACCAGCAGGGGGCGACTCCTCTGCTCCCATAGACGTCTATGAGGAAATGACTCTACTTCTCTGTAGTGACCAGCAGGGGGCGACTCCTCTGCTCCCATAGACGTCTATGAGGAAATGACTCTACTTCTCTGTAGTGACCAGCAGGGGGCGACTCCTCTGCTCCCATAGACGTCTATGAGGAAATGACTCTACTTCTCTGCAGTGACCAGCAGGGGGCGACTCCTCTGCTCCCATAGACGTCTATGAGGAAATGACTCTACTTCTCTGTAGTGACCAGCAGGGGGCGACTCCTCTGCTCCCATAGACGTCTATGAGGAAATGACTCTACTTCTCTGTAGTGACCAGCAGGGGGCGACTCCTCTGCTCCCATAGACGTCTATGAGGAAATGACTCTACTTCTCTGTAGTGACCAGCAGGGGGCGACTCCTCTGCTCCCATAGACGTCTATGAGGAAATGACTCTACTTCTCTCTTCATTTATTCCCTCAGTTGACTGTTTATCAGAGGAGTCCATCGGTTGTTTTTATCTTTCAAGGTTTCCGTTTGTCTGTTGTCATCTTGGCTTTTTGCAGCCAATAAACAGGAAGTGACCATATGTGGACTGAGGAGGACGTAGAGACGCCGTATGGGTCTCTGGTAGACATATACTCCGCCCTTAAGCTTCCCTATGGTCTATGGTCTGTTTGACTCTAAATGGACCAGAATCTACTAAATGAACATCAGAGACTGAGACCATAAACTCTTCCTATTCACAGTCTATGATTTGAACCCCTGTAGATGATGAGTAATCCGGCCCCAATTTAAGTAAAACACAGCTTCAGAGCGCTGCTGTCCATATCACAAAGAATGTATAACAATGTATAACATCAAAATGTGACATTGCTTTTCTCGTCAGAAGACGCCGCCCACCAAGAGCGACGCGGGCGACGCCGACTCGGACAGCGAAGGAGACAAAGAGCGTCCGATCGAGCCGCCGGTCAAGAAGAAGAAAAAGAAAAAGAGCCGGGAAATAGAGGAGGAGCCGCCTGCAAAGGAGAAGAAGAAGAAGAAGAAAGACAAACGCAAGGAGGAGTTCAGGCCTCTACCGGCGCCAGACACGGACGAAGAAGAGGAGGAGGAGGAGGATGGTGAGGAGGAGGAAAAAGCCGCCGTTCCGAACTCTCCCCCCAAGGAGAAAAAGGATCCCAAAAAGCGTCTGGTTGACTCTGAGGACGAGGACCATGAGCTGGTTCCCTCCAAAAAACACAAGAGGGAGAAGGGGAAGCATAGGAAAGAGAAGGAAGAGGAGGGCAGGAAAAGGAAAGGGAAGAAGGAGAGGAAGGTGGAAACCTCGGAGGACGAGGGCGCCGCGGCTCTGGACGACGTCCTGAGCGACGCGCCGTCAGAGTCCCTGGCGGACGACGCGGCGCTTAAGTCGGCCGAAAAATCCCGCTTGGAGGACTCGAGGTCCAAGCAGAAGAAGGGCAAGTGGGAGGTGAAGCTGCAGGGCATCAAGGAGCTGATCCAAGACAAGAAGGGCAAGAAGCCCGACGGCGTGCAGAAGGAGAGCAGCCTGCAGAAGCCGAAGAGCCTCGCCTCCAAGGTCAAGGAGGACGCCGCGCCGCACTCGGACTCCAGCGACGGCTCCGCCGTGCTGAAGAAGAAGAGCAAAGGTCAAGAGGGCAAGGGGCAGGAGGGCGCCGCCGCGCCACCACCGCTGCCCAAAGTCCCGTCCTCCTCCACCTCGTCCACGTCCTCCTCCTCCTCCGTCGCGCCGGGCGGCCTCAGGCTGAAGGAGGAGGAGGCGGCGGCGGCCAAGGAGGAGGCGCTGGGGCCGAAGGACGCGTCGGGCTCCACCAACCTGTTTGAGATGTTCCTGCTGAACTGCGAGGCCAAGGACCGAGCTCCCCGCCGGGCGCATCAGGCCCCCCCCGAGAAGATCGCAGTCAAGCCCACCAAGGTACGCTGGGTTTATTCAAGGCTTGTGGAAAATAAGCGCTACGATCTGCCCACTTCTTTAAGCAATAACAGGTTGTGATTCCATATTATTTATTATATTTCTGTGTTTGCAACGTGCCCAAGAATCTACTTTGATAGATAAATGGAGTAAGTGGTAACCATGACGACCAGGCTGCCCCCTCTTTTCCCATTTCCACATGCTGAATGGACGAAAAATCACCTGAAAAAGTTTTTAACGTTTGTTGTTGTTGTTTTCAACATCAGGCTTTAGGAAAGATTGAGAAGACCTCCAAGACGACCAAAGAGTCTCCGGCTCAGAGAGCAGAGCCGGAGAAGACTGAGAAGAACAAGCAGTCAGACGGTATGACGAGGCGCAGAGCAGAAGAATCAATGAGATTATTAGATGGGAAGCAAATCAATAATAAGGAAACTGCTAACAAAACCCATCGGTAGATTCAATCGGTCTACTCACACATCAGTTCTTTCCATCGAGACGTTGTTTATCACCACGGACGACAACCGCTGTATAGACATGTGGACTCGTCTCCTTCAGTCTCCAGGGCCGGCCAGAGTCACGGCTTCAGCCTGGACAGCGAGGAGAGGGAGGCGGAGGAGCCGGCGGCCAAGGACCCCCGGGAGCGGAGCTGGGAGAGGAAGACCCCGGCGGAGGAGAGGAGGAAGAGGAGGGAGGACAGCGAGCCCAGGCTCCACATGGCGTGTGACGACAACCCGGACGGCCAGGAGCCACCAGGCGCCGACAAGTCCGGTGAGTTTTATGAACGTCTGAGAAGACGATACTCGGAAGCTCCGATCGTCGGCGGAGCCTGAATGCATCGCACCCGGAGACTAGAAACGCATCAGCGGTGACATCATCAGCGGTGACATCATCAGTGGTTTAACCGACTGCTGGAGGAGAAGACTGCATTTACATGATGCTGGTAACTGTTTATCTCTCTGCACAGACAAGGGCCAGGCCACCTTGAGCCTGGGAATGGACCTCAACCTGGACTGGATGACCCTGGACGACTTTCAGAAGCATCTGAACGGGGAGGACGAGATCCTGTCGGGTCCGCCGCTGTCGCCCAGTGAGTATTTAATAAATGTCATTTATTTAACATAAATACTGAACACGGCTGCTGTCTAGAAGCTTCCAGGTGGATGGAGGTCTTTAGAAGCTCCGGGGTTGTTTGTTTCATCTTTATTATCATCAATGGATCTCAGGTCCCCTCAAACAATGTCCTTCATATGTAAACAATAACAATAAGCACTGAAATCCTTTAAGAAAACTGGTGATCGTGTTTTGGCGGTAATATTGTGTGGTTCCCCGTTTGTCCCCTTTTCAGGCGAGTTGCGTGATGCCGTGAAGAGCGGAGACTACATGGCTGTGAAATTGGCCCTTAATTCCAAAGAGGACTACAATCTGGACCAGGAGGTAGGCTTTGCCATCCACCCAGACCTTGTTTTAATAGCTTGTGCCTTGTTTTATTTACTTAGCACATTTATTCAATGCTACAGTTTGCACCTTGGCCGCCGGGCGAGTGTCTGTTGGATAAAGTTAAAGGTCCTTTGCGTTAAAATCACACTTCCTTCAGCTGAAGGAGAAGCGACGCGGTCGGAAAGAATCCAAAGTATTTTATATTATATTAGATTTAGATTTATGAATTCTAGACCCTTCTCACAGTCAAAAGTTATCTGTAACGACACGCAGCAGCGCGAATCCCTCTGTGATCCAACTCGCATTAGAAACTTCTGGAGCGTCGTTGGAAACGATTAAAGCCGCACGATGCGTTTGCAGAGGTGACGCAATAATGAACCTGTGCAGCGCTTCTGAGAAGAAAAGAAAGCTCCCGGAGCTGCAGCTGGGAGAAAGTTTCTCCTCGGGATCCCCAGACTTTGTACTCCTTCGTGTTTATTAATATTCTCAACGCCTCAAGATGATTTTCACAACTCCAGAGAGACTTTTGCTTCTGCAACGAATCCAGGTAAGCGTGAGCTCTGCAATGCTTTCATTTCTTTTATGGAAAACAGAATGTGTGTTTTATGTTAGAGGGACAGTTGAAAATGTTTAAAGCATCGATGGGTTAGTGTGTTACCTAAACAAGAGGCCGGCATGAAAACATTTAAGGAGGTTTATGCCGTTTTTAGAATATTTTCACAGCCCTTTCTGACGGGGAACTGATGATCTCTCAAAAGCCACAAGACTCTTTTGACAAAACCACTGAGTTTATCTTGCTGTTCTTCTGCTTCCTCCATTGCTCGGTTATTTGGGTCGTGTGGCTTTTCTATGGAGAAAGTACTTTCTTTGTCTGCACTCGGCTTCATGAAGAGGTGAAAATAATCTAAATAAAGAATAATATTTGTTCTTTTAGGAGTCTTTTACGTTACATGTCATTCAGCTGACGCTTTTATCCAAAGCGACTTACAATGAGTCTTCATCGATTAATACAACATCGCTTTTACAACCACACTAAACTATCCAAACTATCCCTTTGAGCAATGTTGTAGTGTTAAATTATGAAATGTGTATAGACATTATATATATATATATATATTAGTCGCTAATGTGTAGCTCTGACCCGCGGTTGTTCGTTCGGCGATGTTTTCTTTGTGATGCTGTGTGCACGTTAGAGACCCGTGTCATCTTTCTTTGCAGAGGACACGCCAACGGGAGAAAACCCTGAAGACACGAAGTAGCGGGACAAGATGAACCCTTTGCAGCAGGTACTTCACTGAGTATCTTTTAGAACATGTACCACCATTAACATCATAGCACGTGGTCAGGGGAGTTTATTCATTTTACCGAAGCATCGGACATATTCTAAATAATAATACTTAATACATTTCTGCGAAAAAACACCAATAATTGTTTCCATATTTTGATTTGTACGTCGCAAGATTAATGGAAAACTTTCTGTTTGACATCAAAAGTAAAATAGTTATTTGTTTTGATTGCACGCCATGAATGTAGGTCTAGTTCATATCCTGTTCTCTCCATGGAGCATTTCATCCAACCCCCCATGACTACATATATACTTGGTGAGACATTTACCATGTCAAATCGCTGCTTGGTCCAATAAAGCCATTAACTGTTCTCGAATGGGTCACATGTGGTTTTTGTACCGAGACTTCAGAGGTGTCAGGGTTTGAATGAGCCTGGATCCCTGGTGGGGCGTTGCCACGGTGCTGATGCATTAAACAGTTTTTGAAAAATGTGCTAAGACGGTTTAAAAGGGAGCCCCCCCCAAAAAAAGGAAGTCATCTTGACTTATCTCCACCAGTTAACCAAATTTCAAACTAAAATGTACCTTTTTTGTTTGGTTTGCCCCCTAAATGATATTTATTTCAAATACTTTCAAGTCAAATTCTTCGTGCTATCGGATCTGGCAATGAGTCTTACAAATGCTTGTTCTTTTACAGGCTTGTACTATTGGTGAGACGAGGTCAATTGAAGGACAGCGGAGCTTGATTGAAGAGAGAAGTTCGAGTGGAGGTCTTAGGTTGAGATCTAACCGTGACAGTGCGAGAAATGATGAGGGACATCCAAGAGTAAAAGAAAATGTCCTGCAAGATTTGGATGGTCCAAAAGATGGCCAAAAAATGACGACCTGCCCTGCCAGTATGTACACTGAGCAAAGGACAGCGAGGGGACGTCAAAAGATCCAAAAAGGTGGAAGGGATCTAACTGAATCCCCGAACAGGGCTTGTGATTCAGCCACTGAGCAGGGAGCTCGACGAGAGCAGGAAGACGAGATGTCAGACGACACAAGTCGTGGTTCATCAAGCAAAATTAGTTTGAACTTAAGTCGTTCGGTTTGCACCACGAAGGACGCAGGAAGGATGGTGACCAGGGCCAATGGCAGACCTCAGCAGAGGGGCGTGGCTAAAAAACAACGGTCCCACCAGGAGGCCAACGACTCGAGTGAGGAGGAGGATGTGGCGGCCGGTCAGTCAGATGATCAGGTTCCGTCTGAGTCGGACTCCGAGGAGATCCCCAAAACGCGGTTGCGCCGTCGCCGTAAAACCGCGGCGGAGGTTCAACCGACGCGATCTAGTTCAAGGACCTGCAGGACACCTGGCAAAGAGGACACCGAGAAGAAAGAGTCCTGTAAGAAGCACTTCTGTTTGTATTGTAAAATGGCTTTTACTCAAATTGCCAAGCACTTGGAGAGGAAACACGCCGAGGAAGCCGACGTTGCCCACGCGATACACTTCCCCAAAGGTTCCAAAGTCCGACAGACTTTGCTTGACCAAATTCGCCATAACGGAGATTACGAACATAATTGCCAAGTTCTCAAAAGCGGCGAGGGGGAAATTGTGACCAAGAAACAGGATAAGAATTCCAGTGTATCCGTTCGGGACTTCCTGCCTTGTCAGCACTGCTTCGCTTTTTACCGCAAAACTGATCTATGGAGACACGAGAGGTCGTGCAAAGCCAGGAAATCTTCCGACAGAACAAAACGAGTCCACAGTGCCGCCTCCCGGCTGCTTCCGATGTCGGAGTTCTTAACCGGGGGCTGCGAAGAAATCATCCACATCATGCATCAAGACGACGTCTCGCGGCACATCAGAAATGACCCTCTCATTTGTAAATACGGCAATGCGCTGTCTGCGAAGTACTACCACGACAAGTCTCAGTTTGCGTATATCGCACAAAAGATGAGGGAACTGGGAAGATTCGTGGTCGCTGTGAATGAGCTTGACCCGTGCGTTAAGTACCTGCATGAAATATGTCAACCCTCCAGATTTGAATTGGCCGTTGAAGGCGCCAAAAAAGCTAGCGGCTTCGACCCCAGTTCCAGTAAGTTTAAAACCGCCTCCCTCGTCTCAAAGATTGGCTACTCTTTGAAGCGGGCAGCGGAAATAGCTTTCGGGGAAAGTCGCATGACCGAGGACGGGGAAACCGAGAGCGAAGTGAAGAAGTTCATTCAACTTCTTGACACAAAATGGAACCAGTGTTTTTCTCGCAAAGCTCTTACGTTATCTCTAAAGCAAGGGGTCAAGAAAGTGGAAGTAGACAAATCGACTGTGACAGAGGATTTGATAAAACTCTACAGGTTTATTGCGGGGGAAGAAGAGGAGGCCACGAAGGAGTTGAAAGAAAGTCCCAATTTGTCAACGTGGAAAAAGCTCAGCGAGGCCACTCTGGCAGACGTGTGTCTCTTTAACAGAGGACGGGTTGGGAACATTGGCAGGATGCTCTTGAACACTTACGTTAACAAGAAGAGTCGTGGAACGTTTGTGCCCTCTGCCGATCAAGTGAGGAAAAGCACCAGGTTGGAGCTGGACCTTGGCGGCAGTTTCACCAGGTTGGAACTGGAGGGTCAGTATGGGAGGAACATGCTGGTCCTGCTAACGGAAAGGATGGTTGGGTCGATCGACTTGCTCATTGAAAACCGAGAACAAGCGGGTGTGTCGAAATCCAACCTCTACCTGTTCGCCCGGACCGAAGGTCCGTCCTTCATCAGAGGGCTGGACTGCTTCCGACGCTGCGCAATGGAATGTGGAGTGAAGAACCCAGAAGCACTTCTGTCCTCGTCGTTGAGAGAGCAGATCGCCAGCTGCTGGCAGCTAATGAGCCTCAGCGAAGTGGAAGTGGATCAAGTGGCCAAGGTGTTGGGAAGAAGCAGTCAGGAGTTTTTCAGGCTCTCAAAGAATGCGTCGGAGCTGGAGGAAGTGAGCAAACAACTTCTCAAGTTGGACCGAACGCTGCCATCAAGTCCGTCGAGCGCTGCAGTAGATGGTGAGTACCTTTTTGGAAGCTTTGGTTTGACATGTGATGTTTTATTTTATTCTTAAAAGCAATATTTGACCAATTGGATACTTCCTTTCACTTCCCTGTATGTGTTCAATATGTTTGCTACTCACTTGTGTAGTGCCTGATCTCACTGTTCCAAATCGAACAGGACTGTTGTGCACTTACTGGAGATCATCTGACCTTTCCATGTCCCTTGGTAATTGCGAGCCTAAGGGCACATAACACACCAGATAGTCGGTTCCACTTTAACCACCTGAGAAGGCTTCATCGAAAAGTGTTTTCAAAAGGGACTTTAAAAAAAGACTTTTGTAGGTGGATGAATCACCTGTCAGTCAAACTCGTTAAAGAAAGGCTCTTCAGTTCGGATATAACTGATGCTAGCCACTTGCAGCATCTAAGCTAACCCTTCTAGCTGCCGGCACTGTCGTTTGGAACATTTCCCGGCTGTCCCCGACCCGTGGTGGTTGAGTTGCGGTGAGAGCATCAAACCCCTCCCTCAAGTTCCCTCCATTAATATAGAAGTAATAGAAAATCACTTCTAGTACAGGAAAGTTCACCCACCCAACAGATGAAGTACAGCCTGACCATTTGTGCATAACTCTTAACCAGGCTTCACTCGAGGTAGACTCTGTTGTTTCCTCCGGACCTTCTGACCGTCAAACCGTGTTGGAACCAGCAGCTGCCCAACGAAATAACTGAACTGTCAATGTCTAGAATCCACATGACTGTATCATGATTGTCTACGCTCTTTATCTTTTCCCAGGAACTGTTCAGAAGCCTGCTTTGAAGAGAAGACCCTGGAATGAGAGGGAGCAGACTGCAGTGAAGCGTTACTTGAGTGAATTTATCACAGGGATGAAGGTTCCAGGCAAAAAGGAGTGCAACGCTTGCATAGCCGCTGAGCCAGATCTTGGAGGAAGGTCGTGGACAGACGTCAAAAACTACGTACACAACACACTACAAACTATGCGGAGGAGAAATAACCAGCATAATTCTGAGGAGAATGTTAACGAGAGTCCAAAGAGTCCGATGGCAGGGGTCCAAACCATGGAGAAAGATTTCGAAGACTCATCTGTTGTCTGTAGTTTGACGACTGTGAATCCAGATCACCTGAGAGAAAGCGGTTGCATGACAATGGCTCCAACCAACTACGTCCAAGAGATGACTTCAACTTATGCAACCTTGTGTTCCACTAGTGTGGACATGATCCACGGGAGTCCGCCTCTGATTTCAACTTTTACGCCGTTAAATGCTACCGACACTCAAGTGGTCCCAACGTTTACACCACACAACACTACGAGTGCACTGATGCCTCCCCAGTACACATCGGACAACAGCCTAATGCTGCCGCTGTCTTCTTACTCGCACAACGCCGCCAGTATGGCGCCGTCTTCTGGGTACGCCCCGCAGGACGCCATGGGTGCGCCGTTGATTCCTAATTTTACCACCTTCACCGCCCCGAGCACCTCCATGGTCCCCACCTTCACCACGTTGAATGCGAGCTCTCCGATGCCCGCCCACGCCTTCTCGCCGCTCAACGACCGGAGCAGGCACATAGTTTCCCCGTTCACCGCCCTGAACCATTCGAGTCCGGCGGTTTACCCGGCGGGCCCGCCCCCAACGACCGCACAGGTGGTCCCCACGACCCACGGGCCCGGCGCTGCCGATGGGACGCCTGTCGCGCGGGAGAGCCCGGCCACTGCCGCGCGGAAGAAGGGCGGCCCGGCCGTCAAGCCTCAGAAGAGGAACAAGCGGCTGTGGAGCAAGGAGGAGCAGGCCGCCGTGAGGCGGCAGCTGGGAGACTTCTGCAAACTGGTCAAAGTGCCGGGCAAAAGGGACTGCGACGCCTGCCTGGCAGCCGAGCCGGTCCTGAACAGCCGGACGTGGAGGGAGGTCAAATACTTTGTGCATAACACGATTCAGTCGATGAAAAGGAGAGGGCACGCTGTGGCCTCCAAACAGAGTGAAGAACCAGAACCAGGGATCCTCAGTAACCCCGTCACCGAGTGGGACGGTCCGGTTTATCTGTCCCTGTAAATATCTGTAATGGACGTCCAAAGAAAGGTGATGGGTGAGATGTTGGAGAGGAATGCCATGGCTTTGATCTCACGCCATACGGGGTTTACCAACTGCCCTCCCAGTCTTTTATTCACACGGAAAAAGCTTCCTGATGTACTGAGAGTGGGGTCCACCCCACCGGGGTGCTGCTGCTTGAATAAACACTAAAGCGGGTGGGGGACCTTTGTACTGTCCCTTCGGCTCAGAAAAAAGGCTGATATTAATGTTTTTTTACATGTTTAGATTGCATATTAGTGTATGTCACGCACTCTGGTATGTAACCTCTAGAAAGTGCTCTAATTTAATCAATATGAACCCCCCCCCAGCCCACCTCGGCAGTCATTGCTGTGTGCAATCAAACTCGCTTTTGCAATATCTGTGAAATTAGTGAAAGCAAATAAATAGAAGATTTTGGGGCACCTGGGACGTTTTCCCACAATGCACTGAGCAAAGGTAGCCGCAGAGGAGGTGAGGGGGGGGTTTCCCACCTCTACTTCCACCTTTGTGCTTGTGCTGTTTTTAGGTCGTGTTTTAATGAACTTTGATGATCAAAAGAAGTCGCCTGCGGTTCTTTGCGTCCGTTGATCCCCGAGTGATCCGCACTCTTTGCTTTAGCCAGTAGCCTTTATTGTAGAAGGTCCCCGAGGGCCCGATGGCAGTACCGGCACACCTTCCTATCTGACCTTTGATGACGAGGAGCTCACTTCAATATGGAAAACATTTCTTCAGAGAATCCTCTTAATAAATGTTCGTTACCTTTACTTATGTATATAATATTATTATTATTATTATTATTATTTTGTCTTGAGTGTTAACAAGCTGCCAAAAGGTTTGGTTGTATTTTCCACTATACAGTAACTGGGTAGAACGTTTTAGTACTTAATCATTTTTAATATACTCCAAACACATTCAGCCCATTTGTATGTTTTCAACTTCTACTATCTGGATGGTTTTGACATTAATATCCATTTTTTGCCAGGATACAATTGCCTTATCATGTTTATTTGCTTGATAATTTATTGTTCCCTTATCTTGTTAATCACATTTAACAAAATAATAACTGTAGTTTTTGTTTCAACGAAGAAAAGTTTTGTTACAAAAGTTAACCAGTGATCTGATTCAAAAATGAAAAATAATTTTTACATTTTTAAAATCTACATTGCTTTGGGCTGAATCGTTTTTCAAAATTTCCAATCGTAGGATTTTTACCAATAAATGCTCGTATTTCCTTCCACCTAATCGCAGCATTATGGATTATCAAGGCTCTCGTGCAGTGGAAATCATAACCGATTCTCGTTAACTTGCTGACGCTTGGGAAAAATGTCAAGCGGGACGAGCTCACGTAATTAGGAGAGAATCCGGTCAATTTTCAAAAAAAAACTTTATTTCAGAGAAGAAAAAAAAATCAAATGAGGCCCGGTACCAAATGCCCCACGTAGCGGTCCGCGGCCCGGTGGTTGGGAACCTCTGCACTAGGTGACGACCTGCACTCCGGCAGAACCAACCGCTTGTTCTGCATTCGCTTCAATAACCGTCTGCGTCCCCCATCTGGGCCTATTTGTACGCCGATGGTGGGAACTACCCCCCCTCCAAAATCTCACTGCAGTTTGGTTATTAAAACAAGAGAGATTTGCACATTTAATTGCCGTTGGACTTTTGTGTTTGTTTTTCTGTCACACGCAAACGGCGTTGACGGTTTTTCTTTTAACTGGATGTGGAAAGCTTGAGCAAACTGCTGAGACGTCACATTTAAGTGGAAGTCTGTGTTTTTAATGTCCCGATAGCACTTGTGACGTTGGCGAGGTGTCAGTTGTCCTCCGCTCAGTAACCAGGGTTCACCTCTCGTACAGAAGCCCTTCCAGATGTTTGGGTTTCCTTGTGAATGGAGTCCGTCTGTTTTCCAGTGTTCAGATGTGTTATTAATTCACCGGAAGGTTGATTCTTGTTCAAACACTAACCCCCCCCCCCCAACCCGTAGAGTAGATGAGTGTCTCTCATTGCTGTAGTGTATAAGCACACAGTGCGTGTTCACCCTGTTTGTAATTATGTCAACTTCTCATTGAATATTGTACGGCTCTTATAACTTCGGCTTGTACAATAAAATGCTTCTTGGCTAAAAGATTGTGCTGTTATGGGACGATGTATTATTTTAGGGGGCTCATCAATTTTGCCTAATTATCTCATTTATTCTGGACAAGTTTGAGAAAGTGCTGAATGACTGTTGGATTGTTATTTGCATTAAACACGACTGAAGAGTGTTGAGCTGTTACACATTAGACTCTGTCAGGGGGCGGACCCTAATTGTATTATCACTAATAATAATACATTTGGGGCTTTTCACGCAGGCACCAGTATCCCTGATGCTTGGGAGTACTTTTATTTATTATATGTTATACAATTGATTTCACAATCGTTATATCTTATAACAAAATCATACAAACTGTAAAAGAAACAAAGTGCCTTCCAAAAAACGTATCCAGAGAAAATATCTAGATCCCCAACTAGATTAAATAGTGTAGAAAATTACATCAACAATAGCTTTTTAAAAATGACAAAATGAAAAACGTTGCTTACTTGAAAGACGTCGATCTGTTACAATGTCCCCTTCTAGCGTTGAGCTTTCAAACCGGCCGAAGAACATCATGTTGTGTTGAAGAAGACGTGAAACTAGAGACTGAGACCATAAACTCATGTTTACAATGTTTACTGAGGGAATAAATCCAGAGAGAAGTAGAGTCATTTCCTCATAGACGTCTATGGGAGCAGAGGAGTCGCCCCCTGCTGGTCACTACAGAGAAGTAGAGTCATTTCCTCATAGACGTCTATGGGAGCAGAGGAGTCGCCCCCTGCTGGTCACTACAGAGAAGTAGTCATTTCCTCATAGACGTCTATGGGAGCAGAGGAGTCGCCCCCTGCTGGTCACTACAGAGAAGTAGAGTCATTTCCTCATAGACGTCTATGGGAGCAGAGGAGTCGCCCCCTGCTGGTCACTACAGAGAAGTAGAGTCATTTCCTCATAGACGTCTATGGGAGCAGAGGAGTCGCCCCCTGCTGGTCACAACAGAGAAGTAGAGTCATTTCCTCATAGACGTCTATGGGAGCAGAGGAGTCGCCCCCTGCTGGTCACTACAGAGAAGTAGAGTCATTTCCTCATAGACGTCTATGGGAGCAGAGGAGTCGCCCCCTGCTGGTCACTACAGAGAAGTAGAGTCATTTCCTCATAGACGTCTATGGGAGCAGAGGAGTCGCCCCCTGCTGGTCACTACACAGAATGCAGCCTGCCCGTCTGTCTGTCCGCAGGACGTCAGCGGCATGTCGCTGAGCATGCTGGCTGCGGTGGGGGGGCAGGACGACATCCTCCGGCTGCTGATCAAGAAGGGGGTGAGGGTGAACGGGCGGCAGAAGAACGGCACCACGGCGCTGATGCACGCCGCTGAGAAGGTACCCGGGAGCAAAGACGCCTTTACTCACTTTTAGCTCGTTGCCCCGAAGCTTTTTGAATTTCTTGGGTTTCTCGTCCTCTTTGTCAGAATTTCTTGACCACTGTTGCCATCCTGCTGGAGGCGGGTTCCTACGTCAACGCTCAGACGCTGAGCGGCGAGACGGCGCTGATGAGGGTGAAGCTGCACACACACACACACACACACACATCCATCTCCTAAAGATAGGAACAGACCCTTTTGGGGAGTTTTATCCCTCTGGGACTTTGATTTTGCACCATCATGACCAGTAACGAGAACTCAAATACGTCTTTAGTGCAGAAAGTTATTATGACATCAATCATTAATCTATATGTACAATATTTTTACCGAGGTCACTGTTTCCTTCTCCTTCCACCTGCAGGCGTGCAAGAGGGGCAACGCCGACGTGGTGCGCCTCCTGCTGGAGTACGGGGCCGACTGCAACGTGGTGTCCAAGAACAAGACGGCCGCCATGTACTTCGCCAAGCTGGGCAACAACCTGATGGTGTGCGACCTCATCAAGGACCACACGGCCATGTGAGTCCAGAGAGAGGAGCCCCCCCCCCGCGGTGTGTCTTTCTCAACACACCAGTGTGCAGCTAGAGATCCGTGTTGTCCCTGCGTCCCTCAGGCTGTCCAGCGTGGCGGAGGACACCATCCGGGCCTACTTTGAGTCCCGCCTGGTGCTGCTGGAGCCCGTCTTCCCGCTCGCCTGCCATCGGCTCTGCGAGGGTCCCGACTTCTCCCTTGATTTCGGCTTCAAGTCACAGCCGCAGCCCGAGGGTACAAAAAACAATCGCACCTCTCAGTGGTCAGCCATCTGCTCGCAGACGAGAGGTTACTGAGACTCATCGGACTTGTCTTGTCCACCCCCCCCCCCCCCTCCAGGCTCGGGCATCCTCCTCTTCATCTTCCACGCCAACTTCCAGTCCGAGATCACGGCTCGGCTGTGTGGCCCCTGCAGCGTTCACGCCGTGGTTCTCAACGACAAGTTCCAGCTGCCCATCTTCCTGGTTGGTTGAGATCTTCTCTTCAGAGGAACTCCGCGAGAACCCGAGTTTTACGTTTAATCCAAACTTTGATCTTCACCTTCAAACATTCAGGACAGTCACTTCATCTACTCCTTCAGTCCGGCTCCAGGCATCAACCGACTCTTCATCCGACTGGCAGAGGCCCCGGCAGCCAAGGTGACGCACACACACACACGCACACACACACACACACACACACACTGAGCACAATAAACGGGGTTCTATGGATTGAGATTTGAATCAAGGCTAAAAACTAAAAGTGACTCATCCGGGTGATGATGTTCTTCCTTCAGGTGAAGCTCCTCATCTGCGCGTACAGAGTCCAGCTGCAGTGAACCGCACTGATGAACACACACACACACACACACACACACACACTCTGCAGAGCCCACCGTCATCTGAGGGCCGAAGAAGCCTGGTGGATCCTCACCGGGATGAGCGCGGTCCGGTTTCGGTGTTGATCCGGATCTGAACTTCCTCACTGAGCGCTCCTCCGGGATCACCAGAACCCCCCCCCCACACACACACACACACACACACACACACACACACACACACAGCCCCCCGGGTCGTGCCTTTCCTTTCCTCCCTCACTCAGTGTGGATGAAATGAAGTTTCTCTGGATTATTTTTCCATTTTTAACAATAACATTGACCACGTTGACGCTTCCCGCTCTTTGTTGTTGTTGACACTTTATGACGGACTTATTTCAGAGCATCAACGCTGGTATCGGTGGCGCTCCTTCTTCACCTCCTGTTTGTCACATCACTAGAGGTCAAAGTTCAAACGTGGACCACAGACTAACGAGTGTTTGTCATGAATGTAGAGAGGTTCCTTTTTATCTTTTATCCTTTTTGTTCCTTTTGCTGTTAATATTTTGTGACCTGTAAATATTCACATACTATATAGTCATATATGCGAGGGAACGTTTTTTTGGAGGGGGGGTTGAGATATTTGTGAGAATGTTCTAAGGGCTAAGCGTGTGTTGGGGGGGGGGGTTCTCTGCGGACAAATACTGTTTGTGTTTTTAATCATTCAGAATATCCTCTAAATAAACATCTTCACATTGATCTGGCTTCTTGGTCCCGTTGCTGTGATGTCACCAGAGAGGTCAGCTGCGTGACCTTCCGTCGCCAGGCTTCCATCTTCACTCACTACTCTTTAAAAAGTTTATATTTTCATCTTGGAGTTTTGTTTTTCTGTGAAGGATTAAAACCTCAAAGTGTCTGAAAATATCTGAAAAACAAAGTGATGTTACATGTGGTGTTACGAACTTTAATAACCTCTTTTTTCCTTCTCATTCAGCTATCAGGTCCTGTTTAAATGTTTAAAGTTATAACGAGAGCAGACGTGAGATGTGTAGTATGAGCAGAATTATATTTATATTTTACAATAATGGAACTTTAAGCTCCACAACATTCACATGCAGCAAGCCTCCATAATGTCACATTGAAAAGAAAGAAACATTATTAGGTAGAAGAAGAAGATGCTGAACTTCTTCTGCCTCTGTGAGAAATGCAAATGTGTACAGATATAAAAATAAAACATAAACCTTGTTAGTGCAGCTGATGAGAACAGAGGGCAGTTTATTGCTGCAGTATTTTGGTACATAGAGATTAAAGGGAAAAAGAAAATGACATACAATGTATGCTTCCAATTATTTAGTAGGAAAGTAAAGGTACAACAAAGACACAAATCGGATGTATCGATCGAATTTCACACGCATCAGACCCTGAACGCCTCACACACTGAAGGTGGAGGTGATGAAGCATCAGTCTGCATCTCCCATATCTGGATTTCTACCGCAATCACATTATTATTTAGTGAAATCCTCCGACAAGATCTGCCGCCAAGACTGTGTCCACTTTAGCGGATTGATGAATTTTTTATTTTGATAAATTAATAAATCCTGCTCGAGCTCAATCTGGTGAGTTCACGGACGCGTCTGAGGATCCGTAGAGATGAAACACCAACCTCTGAAGTGAGTCTTTTCTGCCCGTTCTTTGGTCTTGACCTTGAACGCACCTGCTCCTCCACTTTCTCTCCTCCCTGCACCAGATGCCCCCTGTGATTGACTCATTATTGATCCGTTTGTACTGATTACGGGTCTTACGGTCTTTTTAGGCTTCTACGGGGACTTCTGCAATGTTGCTTTTCAAACACTCTTATGGGAATTGTTGAGTTTATTCTCTGCACCATTTTGGTTTTTCCTTCGTGTCCCCGGATGGAATCTTTGGAAACCCGATGTTGCGCCGACGGAACCGGGTACGTGAACTCCCTCAACCCGGATCCTCCCCCCTGATTGGACCCGAGCTGTGTCTACTTCAAATGCAGCTTGTAATTTGTTTTTTATTTTTTTTAAAACACAATGACATCTTGTTGATCGTTTAGTGGCGGATCCGGAGTCAGTTTACACGGCAGAAGCGATGCATATCGATGAGGTTATCGGCTTATTGGGGATATTCAATTGCCAACCGTGTAGGCAGCCTGATTGCGCCCTGTGCGCATGCGCGGCGAAGGAGGGAAAAAAAAACCCATCGAGAAATACGAATGGATGCTGATCAACATCTAGTATGAACAACAGGAGGTCTCACTCTGCCTCCCTTTCGGCCACCTTTAAATGTGAGCGTTTATGCAAACTTAAAGGAGCATGCGTGTGTTTTTGTAGTTGATTGTGTCAACACAGGTGAGAAGGTATTTCGATCTTTTACTGAGGTAAAAGTACTATGTTGTAGAAATACTCGTGGCATCGAAATACATTTAAAGTGCCGTGAGTATAATCTCGTTTCAGAATAGTATGTATTAAGATAAGATCCTTTATTAGTCCCACAATGGGGGATTTCACAGGATCACGGCAGAAAAAGTGGACAGTGTACAGAAGATACAAGGTAAAAAAAAACAACCCCCTCACACGCACACACACAGACAGACACACACACACCGGCCTGGTTACGTCACGTGAAACGACCTAACCGCTACGCAGTGACTCATCTGCAGCGCACACGATCTTCGGACGTAAAGGGAAAAGTTCTAAACGGTGCGCATGCGCTCCCCGGGATTAATGTCGAGGCACAAAAGTGGCGCTGCACCGTCGCGAGCTCTCCTCCGGTAAGGACCCTCTCTGACGCCTTTTGGGCTTTTTCGCGATGTGCCGGTTTATAGCATCGCGGGGGGAAAGTTTGGGGGAAACTTGTGCTGGTCGTCGGGCGGGTGTCCGGGTCCTCCACGTCCCCCCCCCCCCCCGCAGTGACGCCGGGTGGGGGGGGGGGGACACATTAGTGAACAATAAATTGTTAATTTGAAGAGACCCCCGCCCCCCCCCCTTCCTCGCCGTGGCCATTGCCGCCACTAGTCTCCAGGGTTGTTCGTTTTGTCCCTAATGGCGGACGCGGCGATGCTGCTTTCCGCTCCGGGGGGGGGGGGGTTAGGGTGGGGGGTACATTCTGTGAGACTACCACGTTTATACCCGGCTTTTGGGTCACGTTGCCCCCCCCCTCCCCGGGGGGGGACTCACGTAAACAAGATGCGTGAATTCGTTTTGCGCCTCAATGTTTTTACGACACTGGATCGAAGACTGGTCACGTGATGCGCATCGCGGGGGCGCCCCTGGTGGTGGCGCGCGGGGGCGCGCCTCTGATTGCGCCAGGGTGGACTCCGCAAGCGTGGAGGGGTAACTTTCCAATTACCCCCCCGGTGTCACAGGTATCATTCGAACCGGGCTTTTTTTTAAATCAGATTTCGGGCTAGTTGTGTTTTGGTGATTATTAATCTCGGGGGGGGGGGGGTCACTCTTTGCGATATCTATTATGTTATATACATTATTCTAATGCGAATGAGGGGCTTGTCACTGGCGCAATCTGTGCACGCGCTCCTCCCTTTATTTTTTTAATATTTTTTATTTTTTTAAACCAGCGGGCAGTTTGCGCCAGAAGGAGGAGCGCGGGGGGGGGGCAGGGGGAGAAGAGGGGGGGGGCAGCAGCGCGGCTCGGACCACGTTTCTGCCGGAGCGCTTGGAAAAGCCCCCCCCCCGGTTGTCCTCCATGAATCGACCCTCCTTTGGGCGGCTGATGGACGCGCTGCGCCCGCTCAGGTAGTTTGTGCTCTTGGCGCTTCCTGAAGTTTGAGCGACCCGCGCTCCGTAGTTTGATGCGCACGTCACGGCGGAGCGTGCGGCCCGGTTCGGGGCCGTCGTGCTCCGGTGGAAACCACCAAGGGCGCCCGGTACGAGCCGTCCCCGGTGAGGGAGCTTCACAGCCATCTGTGACGAGGATGATGATCTCCGTCTGTGTTTGAATGTGTAATTAGTCTCTGCGCCATTTGCGCAAACTGCAGCTGCCTGCCTCCAACCTTGTGACCTGCTGGGAGGTTGGGGGGGGGGGGGTGGAGGACGTCAACTCGCGTAGAAATGTGGAGCAGCACCTGATGAGTGATGTGGTTCTGGCGCAGATTAATTGCGGTGTTTTGTGCACGGACACAGTGCGCGCGCGCCCCCCCCCTTTCTGTCCACCTGGTGTTGACGTAAGGATCAGCTCATTAATGCCCCCCCCCCCCAGCTCTGCATTGCAGGGTCTTTGCACATAGATTCTCCTCCTGGTGGCTTTAATGTCCAGTTTCTTATTTTTTGAGGTTTGTTTTTGTCCTTTTTGGTGAACAGTCGAGAACGACTCGTCGATCTTGAACAGATGCTGGTTGTGACTTCCTGTCACGTGGTCACCGTGAGCAACCGTATGAACACACACACACGCGCTGATAACACACTCTGTTGGTTCTCGTTATTCACAAATACCCGGATGAATTTTCATCAGTTGACTATTTCCTCGTTTGCATATGAAATGAGAGTCTCCAGGTAAACGTTGTCATCTTGATCACTCCAGAGCTGGACGTGAACATGCCTTATTGTTTATTTTATTTTTATTTTTATTTTAAAGTTTGCACGTTTTTTAAAGCTGGTACAACACGTGAGCGTCGTTGAGCTAAAATCCCATTAAATGTCAACGTTTAGTCCTTCTGTTGGCTTTTGGGGTCCACGTGTTGACGGGGAGGTTTTGGTTCGCCTGCTTTGTTTGTGTGTATAAATACTGATGCTGATAAGAGCACATATAGTATTTTAACAGTTTAGACCAAACTCTGCAGCAATGCAGGACTATTACTTAACATAAGTGGGTACATGCAGTACAAACATTTTATAAAGTTGTACTTCTTACAAGTAGCAAATGTAAAGAATCAGTGTTACTATATAACAAAAAATATGTTAAAAGTAAGTTTTTCTATAATCTTTTATTTGATTGTGCCGGTGGGCTGTAGCTAATATAAAGTGGTTCAATACTTCTGCTTTTATTTAATCAGAAGTAACTTCTCTAAGGGACCAATACGTTAATAATCATTAGTTGTATAAAACATATATAATAACGCATTATATATTTGATAAAACCTTGAAGTTTGATTGTAGCAATCCTACAGGTGGATGTGAGGTAGTGCACTTATCTCCATTTATTGAATTGATTATTGTTAAAATGTGGCGGGGCGGGTCCTGGGATGGAGGCACGTTCAATAGACTTGACCCCAACTACAATGAGGGAACCCCCCCCCCCCCACAGAACAGGGGGCCAAAATGGCCGGCGTGATGATGTCGCTCCAGTGATGTGGCTTCCTCTGGATCAGAGCTGCGTTCAGGTGCTCTCTGAAAGTGTGTGTGTTGCACCTGACGTCCAAATATGAATGGGATCTTTCTACAGAGACTCGTATGTGATCTTCTCACTGCGGCCTAGTTCCTCTTTTTACATCCGAGTGCATTCATTAATTCAGTGTGACGCCAAGCGCCCTGCTGTAGAGCGGGGAGAAAACCAGTCCCCGCGGTGGGCCTTGCCGTCGCCACGGCAACCAAGGTGTAGCTTCACCAGTTGCTATGGGCAACGATATAGAAGCCGTGGGAGACTTTAGCTCTCCGCCCCCGTCGTAGCGTTTCACACAGTAAATGGTGTAAAAAAAAGTAAATTTCACAGTTTACACTTTTGATGTCGTAGCAAAAGCGAAAATGTGACATGAACTGACCTCCGGGTTAACCGCCATCTCTGAAAAGTGACGCGAAAGCGTAATGAGTGTAAGCTGCATTCTGTGCAGTGACCAGCAGGGGGCCTCTGGTCCCATAGACGTCTATGAGGAAATGACTCTCTTGACTAAGGACTTCTCTCTTGATTTATTCCCTTATTATTTCAAGTCTTCTTCAACACAGCGTGATGTTCATTTAGTAGGTTATGGTCCATTTAGAGACGGACCATAAAGCAGGGGATGCTTTAGGGCGGGGCTACACGCTGATTGACAGTATACATCCTCTTCCGTCCAGAACACTGAACTCGAGGCTTTGAAAACAGTCTCGATGACTTTGTCCACTTCTCATGTTCAGTCTGGGGTTCGTTCGTCCTCTGAATGTTGCAATGATCATGAGAGGGTTTAGTTTATTTACTGGATTTTGGACTAGAATCAAAGACTCTGCCTCAATATAATAAAATTATCAAAGTGACAGTTTGCAATAGAGCATTTTAAAGACCGTTCAAGCTGGTATGCAGCTGTCCAGATGTTGTAGCGCCGCCGTTGTTGCATCAGACGTCTGAAACACTTGATAAATATAACACATATTTTCCAACAAGTGATGATGGCAGAAGAGGTGGTAGCTGACAATGAGTTCATCAGCCATGGGGGGGTCCGGCCTCTGGGGACACCTGCGTCACCTGTGCAGCTGCCAACAGATAATTAGTTTTTCTTCTTTCCATGTGTGAAAACGGCCCTTTTGTTTGCGTCGCCAGGTGGTTGCCATAGCGATGGACGGGGAGTCAGAACCCATCCCCGCCGTGGCGGAAGAGGCAGCAGGGGAGCGGGTGGAGCCCATGGATGCCACTCCCTCCCCCGAGCGACCGGCCGCGGCCCCCTCGGAGGAGGCCAGAGAGGCGGTTTCCATGGCAACAGAAGGAGGGGAAGAAGTCGCCGACGAGGCCACGAAGGAGGTCTGCGGGGAGGGCGATGGCGATGATGACGTGGTTCTCCTGGGGGAGGGGGAGGATCCCCGGCCTTCTGCCGCGACCCCCACCACAGACGCGCCCGCCACGGACCGCCTGGAGCCGGCCGAGGCCGCAGACGCTTCCACGCCGGGTTCTCCCATCTCCTTCAGCCTGTCGTCCCCCGCGCCGCCGGCGCCGCCCACCGCAGAGGCGGAGCCCATCGTCATTGACGACGAGGAAGACGGCGAGCAGAGGAGCGCGCCGGCCTCCTCCTCCTCACCGCCGCCCCCCGGGGGCTCCTTCCAGTCAGGCTCGCCGGGTGCGCTCAGCAGCCCCGAGGCCGAGTCGGAGATCAGGATCGCCAGCGTCACCACGCTGGGGACCGGTGGTCTGGGCCGCGCCGCCGCCGGGTCCACGCCGCCACAGGCAAGGGACGTGCAGGAGGACATGGCGCTGGTCATCACCTCGGTGACCTCGCTGCGGGCCGGAGAGGCGGTGAGGCTTTTTATCCTCATCTGGTTTACTTTTAACAAGTTAAATGTTAATGTTTTTAATTTAACCTTTTTCGTTTTAACCAGGCGGCTCATTAAAAAAATACTTTTTCCCGTGTGTGTGATTAAAATATTTGTTTTTGCAGAGGAACTTAGACAAAGTGTTTTTTTCACAATAATCTAAAACTATCAAAGCGTGTTTTCTGCTGATCGACCCCTCTAGCTGACACAACGTAAGCTCCATACTGACTTTGGTGGTGGTGTGAATGACGGCGTGCAGTTGCCATGGCAACGCTTTACCCCCCCAGAGCCGTTCTTTTATCATTAACTACGCTTAAAACCACTAACCGAAGCCTCTGGCGCGTCCAGGAGGGCGAGGGCCACGTGGAGGAGAACGGCCTGCAGATCGCCAGCGCCTTCAGCCTGAACCCCGACGCCCCGTCCGGCCGACCGCCCGCCTCCTTCAACCCCGGGAGGGGCTCCGGGCCCGCGGGCCAGCTGGTGCAGAACGGAGACGCAGGGGCGCACAACAGGACAGGTAGCGTGGAGGAGGAGGTGACGGCCGTGAGCTCATCCTGTTGAAGTGTGACGCTGGCCGAGCTGGAAGGGTCGTGATAATGAGGAGCGGCGGCGTCTCCTCCGACAGGAAACCCTCTTGGAGAACCTCATTCTCGCTCCTTCCTTCCCTCCCTGCAGACTCGTGGATCTCCCAGTCGGCCTCGGTCCCCCGCAGCCACAAGCAGGCGGCGGTCGGCACTCCGCCGGCGGCCTCCTCCCTGCCCAAAGCCCCCGGCCCGTCTTCCTCGTCCACTTCCTCCTGCGCCTCGCAGCCGCAGCCCCGGACGGTCAAGGTGATCCTCTCCGTCCGGGGGACGTCCCGCGTAGAGACAAACTTATTTATATTTTAAAACTTTTATTTCAGATTTAGCAGTCCAGTCCTTTTCCAGTGTTTTATATTTTATATTACTCAGGCATAAATCCTTTCCAATATATATTAACAGATTTATTATTACAATAATTATTAATTATATCAGTACAGGACTGCATAAGTATATTAATGATGAGCTGGTTATGAAAAGAATAGTACTTTAAATTCATATAAAACTGTTTTATTTTAGGGTGCTCGAGGTATCTTCATTTTTTTGGAACCGAATTTCCTGCTTTCAGTACTTTTTATGTTTCCTTTCCTAACAGAATATTTTCTGTGGTAGACAATTTAGTTGTTTGTGGAAACAAGCAGCGGTTTGAGCAGCTTTTCCTCTGTAAACCCTTTCATTCTGTATTAATTGGACGAAACCCTGTCCTCGGGGACGTGTGCGGGGCGTCTCTGGGTGGCGTCCCCGCGGTGATGTCACAGTGCTGTTTGTCTTCTCCCAGGTGACCTGCGCCAACTGTAAGAAGCCCCTGAAGAAAGGCCAGACGGCCTACCAGCGCAAAGGCTCCACCCACCTCTTCTGCTCCACCACCTGCCTCTCCGCCTTCTCCCACAAGCCCGCCCCCAAGAAGAGCTGCACCATGTGCAAAAAGTACAGTGGGGGGGTAGTTGGCTGTATTTCTCAATTATTCATTTTGATTTAACTCTTATCTTTAAAAGTTCCTTGTCTCTATATTTAAAAGGTAGATTAAGTGTTTTTATTATTCCAATAAGTCTTGGTGGAAAAACAATCAGGGCGCACAAGCGAATTAGTGCCACAAACCTGTAAAAACTCCTCCTGAGCGATGACCACTGAACCCTTTTCTCCAGGGACATCACCAACATGAAGGGCACCATCGTGGCCCAGGTGGACTCCAGCGAGTCCTTCCAGGAGTTCTGCAGCACGGGCTGCCTCGGCGCCTACGAGAGCAAGCAGAACCCCCCCAAATCCATCATCAAGACCAAATGCACCGTCTGCGGGAAACTCACTGAGGTCAGTGCGCCCGGCAGGCCGGACCGCTCAGCGCGCAGTCAATCGCAAACTGGATTTGAATGTTTTTTTTACAGGATTTAGTTCAAGCTGACTGTTTATTTGAAGCAGTGTTTTAAATGAGACGTGTACAGTAAAATGTTTTTGCCTAAAATATAAACGTTTTTAACAATTTATTTTAATCAATCGCAAGATGTGTTCAAGGACCATCGGAAAGATGTAAATGGGCAGATGGGGGTTCGACGGACGATGCGGTTTTTGCTTGCTGATAGAAAACATGCAGAGGCTTAGTAAACAATCTCTTACCGTCCATCTTCCTCCTCCGGCCCCTCGCTTGGTGCGCTCGTCTCCTCGCTCGTCGCCATGGTCACCGCGTCCAGAGAGGAGAGCCGGCCCGGGTGCTGCTCAGAGAGTGGATATCCGTTTGAGACCCGTATGCTTTACAATAACACGTGCATAACGTGTGCCCTCATCTCAGACTCACTTAAGCGCTTCAGTGAGACTGTTTGGAATATTCTCTTTTTTAAATGTGTGATTTCTTTCCACACAATAACCCGAACAAACAACGACGAGAGCGACTTTCAATTTATGCCGAAAAAGAAGTGAAAATACGTCGTTCACTTGATCCTTTTTAGATCTGAAACTCGTCCACAGCGGAACGAAGAACCTCACCCCTCCTGCCCCCCCCCCCCCTCTCCTACAGATCCGGCACGAGGTCAGCTTTAAGACCGTGACCCACAAGATCTGCAGCGACGCGTGCTTCAACGTGTACCGCCGGGCCAACGGGCTCATCATGAACTGCTGCGAGCAGTGCGGCGACTACCTGCCCAGCCGCGCCTCCGCCAACCACTTCCTGCTGGTGGACGGCCAGCAGAAGCGCTTCTGCTGCCAGAACTGCATCCAGGACTTCAAGCAGGTACCTGGGGGGTCGGTGGGTGGGGGGGGGGGGGGACTCGAGTCCTGTGGTGTGCAAAAGATTTAAAACCACTGCATCCTCCAGGTTTATCCCATAAAGGTCTGGAGCCACTGACCAACCTGTTGTGTAACCCCCCCCCCCTCCTTTGGTTCCAGGCTCACAGTAAACTGGCCACGTGCCTCACTTGCAAAACGCTGATCAAGACCGGCGAGGTTCTGCACAGCCTCGGGGCGGGCGGCACCATGGGCTCCTTCTGCTCCGTCAGCTGCATGAACAAGGGCAAGCTGGCCTCCACCTCCTTCATCAGTGAGTGACGCCACACGCTGGCTTTTATCTGGCTCTCATTTCACACACAATGGCACCTTTTTCATAAAGGCGCCAGACGAGCCGTTATCGTGGATCCGTGGACGTCCCCGTCCGGGTGTCTTCAGGACTCCTTGTGCTGGTGGTTTGTTGGCTGTGGGGTTGATGAGCGCGTTGTGTTAATGATGTGTGCAGACACGGAGCCGTCCTGTCACTTCTGTAAGAGGAACTCGTTGCCGCAGTACCAGGCCACGCTGCCAGAGGGGAACATCCTCAACTTCTGCAGCTCGCCGTGTGTCACCAAGTTCCAGGTGGGGGCGCTCTTCCCGCAGCTCACAGCCGAGGGCGCGTTGCTCCGCCTCGTTCCTTTAAAGAATCTACGGCTTGCAGCGTAGAGAAGGTGGCTAAACTGGTCATCGAAAGCTTTTTAATTTTATTTCTTCAGAACGCAGCTCTCCTGACGACCACCAACGGGGAGACGGCGCTCTCCACCACGCACAACGCAGCCGGCGTCTCGCTGAAGTGCAACTACTGCCGAGGAGCCTTCAGCCTGAAGCCAGAGACGCTGGAGTGGCAGGTGAGGGGCTTTTATCCAGATGTCTGAGGCACAGGCGGAAGGGAGGAACCTTCAGAGGGGAAATGATTGGAAATGTCTCTGAACCAGGACAAGGTGCACCAGTTCTGCAGCAAGACGTGCTGCGAGGACTACAAGAAGCTGCACTGCATCGTCACCTCCTGCGAGTACTGCCAGGAGGAGAAGACGCTGCACGAGATGGTGAAGTTCTCCGGAGTCAAGAGGCCTTTCTGCAGCGAAGGTATCCGCCTCCCCCCCCGGTCGGCCCCATCTGAAGCTCTTTCCTCCGCTGGGTTTAACCATCTCCGTGTCTTCTCTCGGATGTCGTCCTCCAGGCTGCAAGCTGCTCTTCAAGCAGGACTTCATAAAGCGCCTGGGTCTGAAGTGCGTCAGCTGCAACCACTGCAGCCAGCTGTGCAAGAGGGGCGTGACCCGGCAGCTGGGCGGCATGACGCGGGACTTCTGCGGCGAGGCCTGCGCCAAGAAGTTCAACGACTGGTACTTCAAGGTCGGCTCCGCCGCCGAGAGCGGGAACGCGGAGGCGTCGAGGCGTTGCTGCTGCTAATGACCTCTGTGAAAACGTCCTCCCGCAGGCGGCGCGCTGCGACTGCTGCAAGGTGCAGGGGAGCCTGACGGAGTCGGTGATGTGGAGGTCCGAGATGAAGCACTTCTGCGACCAGGAGTGTTTGCTGAAGTTCTACTGCCAGCAGAACGAGCCCATCATGGTCACGCAGAGGGGCCCCGAGAACTCCACCCTGGGTAGGGACTGACAGGCGGGGCGGGGTGGGAACTAAGATGATGGGGCTCTATCATGTAGTCGGTTGATTAATGATCAACGGGAAAATAGTAAATATATAAATATATATATTATATAGAAATAAATAATGTATTATATATATATATATATATATATAAGGAGAAAAATGACTTTCTTAATTTATAATATATTTTATAATATATTTATAATTTATAATTATAATTTATTTCTATATATATATATATAATATATATATATAAAAATATATAGCTCTCCAACACATTCTCAGGAATAATTTATTATAATTTATTTCTATATATATATATATATATATATATATATATATATATATATAAGGAGAAAAATGACTTTCTCATATTTATATTTTAATAAAACAAAACATGGATGTCATGTTGGACTTTTATTAACCAAATAATGAATGAATCTATAAAAGCTGTCCTGATTAATGGGTTAAAATAGTTAAAATAACCCATAAGTTTGATGCGTCAGTCGTATATATATTTTTCATGACTGAATGATTTTTCGTTTTGTCGCAGGTTATGAAATGCAAACCAAACTGGGGGTGAGTACAACGTTGTTAAAGATGTCAGTGTGACGTGTTAATCTAATCGAACTATTGACTTATTGTAATCTGTTATACTCGCATGGCCTAAGAAAGGGTTAATATCCTGCAACGATTTGATTTAAATATCTACTTAATGTAAATTTAGATTCATAAAGTGTCAAAGAAAAGCAAAATGTTGTGACGAGTTAGTGGAGCTTTTATCGGGGATTAATTACAGGAATTCAGAGATTCCGTCATTTCTAAACTCCATCAATGCATCTTGAGTTGAAGTGGTCCCTTGTGTCCCTCGTGTCCCTCGTGTCCATGCAGCTGGTGAGCCAGGGCACGGCAGCATACGGCGGTCCGATGAGGGACGTGAAGAACAAGGCGGTCCTCTGCAAGCCGCTCACGCTGACCAAGGCCACGTACTGCAAACCCCACATGCAGAGCAAGCTTCTGCAGACCGGTGAGCGCCGGTTCCATCTCGTGGAGGTTATCCAGGGACAGGAAGTCCCGATTAGCGGTCATTTATACTTTGCTGCGTGTGTCCACAGACGTGGACGACGGCGTGAAGAGGGAGTACATTCCTGTCCCCATCCCCGTGCCCGTCTTCATCCCCGTGCCCATGAACATGTACTCGCAGCTCGCTCCCGCCGCGCTCTCGCTGCCCGTTCCGGTGAGAACGCGACGCACCGAGCGGCCGGGCCGCTGAAAACGAGATCCGTCAATGTATAAAGAGGTTTATCGGTCGCGCTCCGTGTCCAGGTGCCCGTGCCGGTGTTCCTGCCCACCACCCTGCAGGGGGCGGAGCAGATCGTGCAGGCCATCAAGGAGCTGAAGAACGAGGTGTCCTCCGACCTGCTCCCCACGGCTGAGGCGACCGCGGAGGACCAGAAGCCAGGTGAGGGGGGGGGAGTCTGAGAGATGCTGGTTGAGATTCCTGAGAATGTGTTGGAGAGCTTCTTCCACATCACGCTGTGTTCCTGATGTGCACGTCTTTGCTTCACAATTAGACCGATCTGAAAATTGATCGTGACTCAACAGATGAGTTCCTAATCTCTGCATGGGAACAAGGTTCTTCAATCGATATGCAGCCGCTATGTTATCGCCACACTTTAGGGTCCTGCTCTCCTGCGCTCTCATTGGCTTAGGGGCCTAGTGGCTTTGCTTTCGTTGGCCCAACTTGTAACTGAGCCCCTAAAAACAACAAGGTTCAGAGAGGTGTGAAGAAAGTGGGTGATGATGAGGACCTTACCTGTGGCTCTCAGACGTGAAGGTGGCGAAGGCGACGCACAGGGTGGAGGAGGCCTCCAGCAGCTGCTCCGAGGAAGAAGAAGAGAAGGAGGAGAAGCAGGCAGAGGTGGAAAACGAGAAGCAGGCTGAGCCCGAGGAGGAGGAGGTAGACAAGAAGGAAGGGAAGTTGGAGAAAGAGGTGGAGGAGGAGGTTGAGAAGACGGAGAAGGACGAGGACGACTATGACGACCTGTATGAGCCAGACCTGGACCTGGAGGCAGACTTCCCTCAAGGTAAACGCTGCTCACATCATCCATACTTAAACTAATGCTCTAAAAGAAAATAAAGATCTAGGATTAAAACCTAAACACGAGAATTACAACTAATAAATATATAATATAACGACTGGTTGAAACTTAAAAAGTAGAGGTATCTAAGGCTCATTCCTCCAAAATAAAGCGCCGCTATATGAACATGTACGAATACAGTCTGAGTGCATGTGAATTGACCGACTGCTTCCTCTCAGACCCAGTCCCGGTCCTTGAGGGAGTGGACGAGGACGTCTCTCTTCCTGCCGTCCCGGCTGAGGAGGAGGAGGAGGAGGAGAAGAAGAAGGAGGAGGAGGCGGCAGCGACTCCACCTCACCCGGAGAGACGAGTACGCCCACGCAGACAGAAACTCTAAGTCTTTAGCGCTTTCCGTAGAGTAAAAGTTGTTGTGTTTTCGTGTCGCAGGGGAACAAGCGGCGGGCGCTGGAGGAGGACTCGGATAGAGCGGCGTCCCGTCCCAACGAGAGACGCTCGCTACCTCTCAAAGCTCGCTATGGTGTCAACGCCTGGAAGCGCTGGGCGCTGTCCCCCCCCGACCCGTCGGGGGACTCCGGCGCAAAGGACGGCTCCAGACCCGGTGAGCTGAAGCCGGGGATCGCTGCGTCGCTCTGCTGTGAACGCCGACAAAACTGCTCACCCTGAAAATGTCCGTTGTTGTTGTTGTTGTTGTTGTTGATGCTGCAGCCCGAGCGAGGAGCAACCTGCTGCTGCTGAGCTCGGAGGAGCTGAACGCCGCTCTGTCGCGGTTCGTTGGGGAGGTGTGCCGACCCAGCGGGGAGCGCTACTCTGCAGACAGCATCCTCTACCTCTGTCTGGGCATCCAGCAGGTGGGTTCCTCACTCCTCCTCCTCCTCCTCAGTCAACATGAGTTTGTGGTCTCTGGTTTCAAGTCTTCTTCAGTACAGCATGATGTCCATTCAGTAAATGATGGGCCATTTAGAGCCAAACTGACCGTAAACGGGTCAGGAACAGGAGTACCTTTTGTATCGAGCTTAGACAAAGAAGTCAAGACCATGTGGTCCGACCTGTGTTGCATTTCCCTCCTTTTTTCTCCTTTACTCCTGTGGAATTTCTTGAACTACAATTGTAACGAAAGAATATAGAAATTAACTTTAATTTCAAAAAGATTTGGCCTCTTTAGATCTTAGATCTTTAGATCTATTAGAAGTCCTTGCAGTGGTTTTTAGAGGGAGGAACTAAAGTTGGAGGGCGTGTTTCCGGTGGGACAGAGATTAGTGGTGCGCAGCCTCGCCCGCGCGCTCACACGCGAGCAGCATGGCGGCGGCGAGCAGCGCGGCGTCTCGCGTCCTCTGCGGGAGGACTTTTCCCTCAGAAAAGTGTAAGATCGATTTTCACTTCTTGTTAAAACTTACAGCGGTTAGAATATTGATAGTATTTCGCGTCTGGCGTAGAAAGGTCGGACTTAAGCTGTTTTCCGCGCCTTGCCGCGGTATTTTCTCCTCGTTCTAAACACGTGTCCTACAATGTTTAGTTTATAGACCAGAACCCGCATCGCAGCTCGATGTGTCCTGTGATTATAACTGTTGATTTGCTGTTCACATTCTGAAAACAAACTGCTGATCACTTTAAATATGAGGACACGCGCATCGAACATCACGCTGCATCGCGTTGACCTTTTTTTTTAATTATTTTTAAATGTAATTTGACGGCTTCTCTTTGCGCTTTGAAGCACCTTCACGCCAAAGGCCGGACGGACGACCTGTTCGGCGACCCGAGCTACTGGCGGTTTGGAGAAGAGCTCAACAAGGTTCTGAAGGACTGGCAGCCCAGCGTGCTCCCTGACGGTGGGTATCAGTCACCTGCTCGGCGGCGCCACCTGGTGGCGCAGAGCCGCGGGTCCCGTGATTAGATCACTTTTGCTGTTCACATCCTGATTGCCTGTGATTGCACTATGATATATGAGGACCCCCACCCCCCCCCCCCCAGTGAAATGTATTTTGCACACACATCCAATGACTGACTGGTCGTTTGCGGCCCCCCAGGCTCCCTGTGGGGCCGCGTGGAGGAGCGCTGCCTGTGGAGCAGCGGGCAGCTCGGGGAGCAGAGTCCGGCCGCTCTGCTGCGCTCGCTGGTCTACCTGAACACCAAACACCTGGGCCTGCGCACCGTGGAGCAGCACCTCCGCCTCTCCTTCGCCAACGTGTACGGCCCCGTCGCCGTGGAGACGGCCGCCTGCGCCCGCCCGCCCTCCATCTCTCAGGATCACCACGGTGAGGCGGCGAGAGCGAGCTGTTAAGATTTCGGGGTTATTGGCTCTGAGGAAATGAAATATAGATGTTTAGGGAAAAAATATTTCTCGTTAAATGTCCAGTTTATGGATCGAATTATGTTCAGAATTTCGGCATTTAATTAAAACGTTGATTCGTGATTCTTTCAGTGCAAGCGGAGTCGAGGAAGAGGAAGCGCACGTTGCAGGACGGCGATCAGGACGACGACTCGGGAGGCTCGGCGGTCCGCCGCCCGGTGAAGAAGCACGAGGGTCGCCTGTACGACCTCTACAGGGCCAAGTGGTGGGTTCAAAGCCAGACATCTGATCTCTACGCTTACACGAATGTAATAAAGTGACATTTCTCTGGAGTCCTGTGATTAATTCTCTTTGCTGTTCACATCCAGACGTCTCGACGATGTTGATTATCAGAAATATGAGGACTGGCCAGAAAATGATTTCAGTGCTTAACCACAGATTAACTCCTCCCTTGTCTCCTTTCCTTCCTCTTGTTCACATCCTTTCTAAACTGAATCTGAAACCATCTTGCGTCTGGATTGTTCACTCTCCCCCCCCCTGCAGCCCGGCGTCGCTGCGCGAGCGTCTGGACATCTTCTACGTTCAGCCGGATCCGGACCGCGGCCCCGACGACCCGCTGTGGTTCAGCTCCACGCCGCTGGAGCGGCGGATCCTGGAGAGCGTCCTCGCCAGAGTCCTCCTGGTCAGAGACGTTTACACGGACAGACGGCGCCCGGGGGAGGACGCGGACGGGGGGGGAGGAGTAGCGGCCACCGCTAGCAAGCCCTGAACGGTTTGACCCTCCTCCTCCTCGATCCAGGGTCTCCTCCTGGTGAGGAGCGTCCAAAGCGAGGACGACAGTGGGGACAAAGAGCAGCCCGAACTTTTATATCCCAGGTCCTCTTTTTTTTTAACGAGACGAGGTGAAGTCCTCAAACCTGTAACTCAAAATCACGCTTTAAAAACGGTTCTCGGGGGCAACGGGCTCCTCCTCTCCGGATGGGGGGGCAGTGAAATGTCGGCGGATCGTTTTCTGGTTCGGATCCAGCAGCAGTTTCACACTTCAGATTCCTCCCATAAATACAAACACTAAATATGAACGTGTCTTTGGACGCTCCGCCTCCTCGCCGTCAGGCCGCTAAGCTCCTCCCACCGCGGGGCTGAACCCCCGCCGACGCGCTGCGTCTCCTTTCAGGACCTCATGCCATGTAGCGTTGTGGAGTGTAAATACCCCCCGAGTCAAAAGCACCACCACCCCCCTTTTTAAGAAGTATAAAAACTTGATATTTATTTCCGTTACGTCGGATCTTCGTGGGCGTCACGCTGCTGCAGCCTCGTTGCTTTCTGTGTGTGCGTCTCCTTTAGTTTAAAACCAGAGCACCTCCTCTTCCTCTTCCTCCTTCCCAGCTGGTTTCACTGCAAACAGCTTATATCGATGGTTTGGACAATATATTTCCCTCTTTTACACTATTCATTGTTCATTAAAGATTTTATTTATGTGCTTAAAAGTCCCCTTTTCTGCATTTTAATGTTTTGTTTGAATTTCCAAATGTCTCAATAAATGTGGAGATTTTGTCATGAACTTTAGTATCGATTGAAGGATTGTTTGTTTCTTTGGATGACTTTTGTTTAAATAGGGAGACGCTTTAAAGCTCCAACGTCCGCCTCAAGTAACTTCATTACATGAATTTCTCCCACCTGAAGGATCGACGGTTCTCGTGAACTCTGAGGACGTTGACGTTGTGGCAGCGTATCGGCCCCCAGAGATTTTTCTTTTTTTCTTTGTCTTTGTCGAGGAGCTCGGTGAGCGTGGAGGACGTTTCGTTTGTTTAGTGTGCTGGACTCCAGCGGCGGTGAGCAGACCTGCTGATGCCTAACGTGAATGTGCCTATCTGTAAATACTGAGAACTGCTGCGGCCGCGTGAAATAAATGACTTCCTTTTCTAATGAGGCTGCACTTCATTGTATTAACGCGTTTACGCTTTACCTGCTTGTCTACAAGCGTCTCTTCGTCTATTAGAAGTTACGCTCGTGTTGAATGTGTCGCCCCCGGTGGACTAACGCGGTATCGTCTCAGCAGCAGAGTCTGTCTGCCCCCCCTCGGTCCTGGTCCTGGTCCTCCCGGGCCCCCCTTCACTCCAGCAGGTTCAGCAATCTGCTCCTGGAGGACGAGGACGAGCTGAACTCGTTGGATACGATTTAAGAACCACAAATAAAACCAGGGAACAAACTTTAGTGAACTGTGTTCTTTGAAAGGTCAGAGTTTTGTTCTCGTTTTAGCGACCTCTGTTCTAATAAAACTAAATGGTTTGACTTTGGACGGGGGGGCCGGGGCCCTCCTCCCTATCCAGAGCCTTGGTCTCTTAGGCGGGGGTGTTATCTGGAGGCGGCTGACGGTGGAGGAGGCCTGTCGACACCACCAGGTCCACACCTACCCCCCCTCCCCAGAACAGCGAAGCAACACGTCCACTGTGCTGGGGGGTCTTTAATATAGAAAACGTCAGATTAAATTACACAGAATGACAAACGCCCAAAGCCGCCGTCCCGTCCTTCCCCGGTGGGGGCGCCGCCTTCGCTGTAAACGTCCCCCAACTTTCAACTGGTTCCTGAGCTCAAGTTGAGCTTCCGGCGACCCCCCCCACACCCCCTCACATTCGTTTTTTTTGGAGAGGCCAGCTTTTTCCTTTGTGTGCCGTCCATGTGTTGGCCCGACTCCAGTGACTCGTCCCATTGATGTAAAGCTGGGAGCCGCATGGCCCACCGGCCCCCGCAGCCCCCCGCCGGCCCCCACTGGCCCCCGCAGCGTTTTTCACCCCGATGAGTTGTTTTTTTTTGTTCGGGCTCAATCCCCGGCTCTTCCAGGGGCATAAAGGAAGCGCTGTGGTCAGCAGGGTCATGTGGGCGAGGCCCCGCATGACCCTGCTGACGTGGTTTGATTGGAATCCTCTTCCAATCAAACCACGTCACCAATGATAAAAATACAGCAAGACGTGTGTGAGAGAGAGAGAGCGGACGTGGGTTAAAGTGCAGCAAACTAATACCCCCCTGACCCTGTTTAGAGAGCTGCAGTGGAAACAACAACCCCTCTAACGCAGTCAACAAACCCAACTTTATCCAGAACGCACACACACACAGACAGACGCACATCCGCTCTGCATCCAGGAACACACTCCCCTTGTTGTGGATGTGAGCTGCTGTGACCTTTGGCCTCTGAAGCATAAAAAAAGCATGTTATATATATATATATATATATATATATATATATATGAATGTGACATCTTGTGATTCATTTGTCTCCGTTGTGTTTGCAGACGGTAGAAATGTCTCACATCATGCAGCTCAGCTCCTGCTGGTTAATCTGATATGAGCCTTTGTGGTCAGTGAATTCATTAAGGCAGTTATTTGCTCCAGAGATTAAGGAACTCCACAACGTGGTGCTCATTAGTTATATGAAATAATTAAGAACGAATGGGATTTGTTTGGTGATCTCACTGCTTCCTTCCTCCACTCTGCCTGGCGCTGATTATTTAGTGTAGTTTATTATCTTGAAGTAGCATCAACTGATTTAAAAATAGAAAACTGTTTAAGAAGTTTAACACTGTCGCTGGGCTAGAAAAAGTCTGTTATTTAATGGACATTTCCATAAGCCGGTGGCCAGAAATATTCATCACACTCCTGAAATACATAAAGGGGGCCGAGGTATTCGTGCTGTGGGCTGAGTGTGAATTTGTCGGGTGATTAAAGGCTAAAAATAAGCGTGTCTGCTGTGGACCAGTGACTCTGTGCAGTCCGGGTGGGACAAAACACCACAATGGTGACCGGGCCTTCTCTAATGGGTCAGCGTTACTATTTCTTTAAATGAACAAGCAATGATTAAACATAAGCAACTTGTGTCTTCTACCATTGTTTTTGGTATTCAGCCATTGTTTTGGATTATGGATTATAAAGAAAGAAAAGTGAGAGGGTTTTCTTTCTCACACAAAATCAGTTTATGCTTCTTTTTGCTAATATTACTCCGTCTCCCGGCTCGTTAACAGAAACCTACAATGTCCCAAATACCAGAAATAAAACCTGATCCGACTGAACGTGTCGCTCTTCCTGGATGCTATGGAGAGAAAACTGAACGTCTGCGACGCGTCCGGCAGTGGAGTCGTCGATCTCCCGTCACTCTTCAGCCACTGGACTCAAGAGTCCGCCACTCATGTTCTGAACTCTGATGTCCGACCCGGTGCCAGATATCCTGAGGCAAAGTCACCTTTTCTCTATCACTTACTAAATAGTAATATAATCCTGCAGTAATTCATTGATTGTTAAGCCTATAAACAATTCATCACACGTTGAATTTCATTGGATGTTAATCACTTTGTTTTTACCACCTGTGTCTTTGTGGATGAGGCTAACGATACCATCTAGTTTGCAAGAGGCCTCCTGCTATAACATTTGTATTTACGCATTTAAGTGCAAGCTAAATAGCTAAACTGGCTAGCTGCAGTTAGCTGAAGATAACAGAGGAATTGAAATGACAACTTTCTCATAATATAAAGGATAAATGATGACGTGCAGGATGTAAACTTGCATCGAAAAGATCAAAACAAACCTTTTTTCGCTCACCCTACACAGCTTAGCTTATTAGGTCTCCCACTCGCTGGTGGGAGGTTGTATTTGAATTACCGTCCTGAACGGGGCTGAGAAGTCTGTCCCAGGCTCAGCGTCGCATTCCGATGATCGCTGCTGGAATGCAGAGTGAGGGGTGTGTGGGGGGGTCGACAAGAGCCGACGAGGAGAGAAATGCTAGAGACTGACAGGAAGCCAGTAGTTCAGATTATCAAGAGCCGTATGCTGCCGCTAATCAGATGCAAGGGATTATCTGGGAAGAAGTTATGCAATAAATATTCTGCCATGATTTTCCTTTAACCCTGATCTGATATTCCTCTATCCTACCCTGGTCTGGTCTCATCCTACCCTGTCTGGTGTCATCCTACCTTGGTCCGGTGTCATCCTACCCTGGTCTGGTCTCATAATACCCTCTCTGGTCTCATCCTACCCTGGTCTGGTCTTATCCTACCCTATCTGGTCTCATCCTACCCTGTCCGGTCTCATCCTACCTTGGTCCGGTGTCATCGTACCCTGGTCTGGTCTCATCCTACCATCTCTGGTCTCATCCTACCCTGGTCTGGTCTTATCCTACCCTATCTGGTCTCATCCTACCCTGTCCGGTCTCATCCTACCCTGTCTGGTGTCATCCTACCCTGGTCCAGTGTCATCCTACCCTGTCTGGTCTCATCCTACCATCTCTGGTCTCATCCTACCCTGGTCTGGTCTGATCTTATCCTACCCTATCTGGTCTCATCCTACCCTGTCCGGTCTCATCCTACCCTGGTCCAGTGTCATCCTACCCTGTATGGTGTCATCCTACCCTGTCTGGTCTTATCATACCCTGGTCTGGTCTTATCCTACCCTGGTCTGGTCTCATCCTACCCTGATCCGGTCTCATCCTACCCTATCTGGTCTCATCCTACCCTGGTCCGGTCTCATCCTACCCTATCTGGTCTCATCCTACCCTGGTCTCGTCTTTCTCTGCCCATCTTCTTCTATCTACTCACATCCTCACATCGTCACGTCTTCTACTGGATCTGGACTTACTACCTGATTTGGTTGGTAGGTACAATTTTGAGGTGCGCCATTTGAGTATTGCATTTTATTTTTGTACTAGACAGTAAATATACTTATACAACTTTGTTACTCTACTCCACTACATCTCAGAAGTAGTGCATTATATATCGCCACACACTTCATTCATTTGATAATTTGATTTATTATCAAATAAACGCAGTACAAACTTTTACTTCAGTAACATTTTGAAAGCGTGACTTGTGCTTGTATCATTTCTACATGGTGCTGATACTAAAGTAACGTATGAGCTTATAATGGCCTTCTGTTAGAACTGAGGTCTAGAATATAATTGTTATGCAATACGAGTTAAGGTCAATGTAAACAAGGAAGACCACATCTAGTAAATTTAAGACTATTCTACTTTGAACATATTGTGCAAATGATTAATAAAGTATCTACCTACCTACCCACCCATCTGTGTTTCATCAGTCAAGCAAAATAACAAATATGTTACAAAAGGTTTATTTATTTAACAGTTTTGAGGTAAATGAACATTTACATCAACTTGCTGTCACAAATGAATCATTCATACACAAGGCACTTCTCTTGTTTAAGACGGGCTGCTGCTCGGAGTGGGATGCTTCCTGTGAGGGGGGGCCGGGGGGATTAGCGGTGAGAACAACTGAGTGGACACACAGAAAAACACTGTTTCTTTCCGTCTCGCTTCTGCCTCTTTTCCCTGAACTGAGCTTCTTGTTGTGGAACAGCTGTGCAAATCTTTACCAGCTATCCAAATGCAAACCTTCGGCATGCCGTTACAGCAGCTCCGGTGAGATGGAGAGAGACATGGTGGATTCTCTCACAGCCTACGGGGGCCCCCGTGTTGTAGCCCTGGCCCCCTCCATCACAGAAAGCAGACCCCCGGGTGCAGGTACTGATCCGGTGGGCTGCACGTTAACGGCTGGATACGAATCGTTATATAATATACACAAACATTAGTGGTTGTGAATAATGCGGAAGGAGAAAGGAGGACCTGCTGATGAATTCAGTTCAAAGTTCAGCTTCCTGAAGATCTCTAAGATGAAGCCAGATGAGCACAACAACAAAGGAAGAAGCTGACCGCCATCTTCTCTTCTGGCCTCACTCGTAGCAAATTACTAACTGACAATTCATCGGTAAAATTCTATTAAAAAAATATCACGGGGAAAATCCACTAGAACGTTTGAGGGCAAAAATAAAATAATCTTTGAAAAAATGATACCAATGGACAAGGAGAATATTGTTATTCTTTATGTCAGACGGCAGCCATGTTGTTTGAGGGTTCATTTCTAGTCTCTAGTGTTGTTGACAGAGCGGCGCGCCTAGAGACCCAGGTGCATTCTGGGTTTCACAGGAACGACCCCCACTTGCAGTTTTTTTAACCTCAGTCCATTGATCCATTCGTCTCAACCTTTATAGTCTCTGCCTGAAGCGCCGCGGTGGCTTATGGGTAAAAAAAACAAACAAGCGTTGGTGTGTCAGGGAGTCGCGGCGTTGCTTCCCGGGTGTTTGTTGGTTCGAGGTTCAGGAAGCGCTAAAGACCTTCAAGGTGGAAATGATGCCGGCTGACCGCAGTCCAGGTAAAATACCAAACATCCGGCCATGTTTCTTTGACATTCCGGTTGTCGTAATTTGTCCTTCAGGCTCAACAAAGAGTAAAAGAATAAAAGTAGAGATCTTTCCCCTTCCGAGGATCTACGTTGGGACGTCACGACGTCCCACGCTGCCCCGCGTTTGTGGGCGGAGCCTCCCGGCCAGCGTAGTCTGCGTCATCACGTTTCTGTGCGTAAATTAAGACCATCCGAAAAAAAGAAGTAAAAACTACTCGGCAACTCGCTGATTGCCGAGAACCAACAACTTATTCTCACGTGAACCGTTTGTTGTTCTGCTCTCGGGGGGGGCGACGGGGGCTGAAGAGATTCAGACGGCCAGGTCGCTCGGCCTCGCCCTGACGCTGCTGGTCTGCTGGCCCGGCTGAGCCGCCGATGGTCGGTCAGCGGGGGCTCGTGCATCTCCACGGTGGTGGTGGAGGGTGTTGGTGGCGTGACCTTCCTCCTGCCCGCTCTTGCCCCCCCTCCAGCTGCCCGCGCTGGACGCGATGCTGCTGCTGCTGCTGCTGCTGGAGGCGGCGGCGGTGGAGTCGACGTTGCTGCAGACGTTGCTGCTGGGGGGGGGCGCCGCGGCATCCACGGGCCGCTGCTGCCGCTCTTTGCCGCTGCTGCTGGAGGACGAGGAGGAGGGGGCGGCGGCGGCGGCGGCCTTCATCTCCCGGGTCTGCTGCTCGGTGGCCAGGTTGGCCCAGTTCTGCTGCGTGGCCAGCCGGTGGTGGTTGTTGTTGTTGCTGCTGACGTAGTAGTGGGCGGAGGTGGGGGGGCGGCGGAGCGGCTCCTCCCGCCGGAGTCCGCCCGCCTTGAACTCCGCCGCCGCCGCCAGGCCCGCGGGCGGCAGGAAGGCGGCGCTGCCCGCCGTCACGTCCGTGTAGTCGGGGGGGCGGCCGAGGCCGCGGGGGGCAGTCCGGGAGCACTCGGGCTGCGCGAGGTTGACGCGGCGCGGCGACTCGTGGAGGGGCGGGGACTCGCTGCTCATGCCCTGCTTGACCTTCTTCCAGCCCAGGTGATAGATCTCCAACAAGTTCAGCAGGAGAGACACGCAGGCCACCACCAGCATGAACACGATGAAGATGGTCTTCTCGGTGGGCCGGGATATGAAGCAGTCCACCGCGTTGGGGCACGGCCAGCGGGCGCACTTGTACAGCGGCCTGAGCTGGAAGCCGTACAGGAAGTACTGCCCCAGGATGAAGCCCACCTCAAACAGGGTCTTGAAGATGATGTTCAACACGTAGGTGCGCAGCAACGCGCCCCGGATGCGGATCTTGCCGTGCTCGTCCCTGATTGGCGGCTTCTCCTTCTTGGCGCCCCGTCCCCCGCCTCCTCCCGAGTCCGCACCGTTCCTACAAAGGAGTTCTTTCTCCTCTCGGATCCTGCTGGCCTTGCGCGCGTCCTCCTCCTTCTCCTTGCGCTTCTCCTCCATGCGGACGATGTGCAGCACGTGGCCCAGGTAGATGAGGGTGGGCGTGGACACGAAGATGATCTGCAGCACCCAGAAGCGGATGTGCGAGATGGGGAAGGCCTCGTCGTAGCAGACGTTCTCGCAGCCGGGCTGCTGCGTGTTGCAGGTGAAGTCGGACTGCTCGTCGCCCCACACCTCCTCGGCCGCCGCGCCCAGCACCAGGATCCTGAAGATGAAGAGGACCGTCAGCCACACCTTGCCGACCACCGTCGAGTGCTCCTGAGCGTTCTCCAGCAGGCGGCCCAGAGAGCTCCAGTCGCCCATGCTTCACGAAGTCTGGCCTGTGGAGAGACGACAGGAGGCGAGGAAAGTCAAAAGTGGTCGGAGCTCAAGCGAACACACGGGAGGAGACGGACGGACGGACGGACGGACGGACACCTGTCTCCTCTCTTCATTATGAAGTAACGGGTTCTTTATGGAGAACCACCACGCAGGCGTCGCATACGGAGAATGGAACCCCGGCGTGGGCCTCAAACTAAAGAGCGGCCGGTCTGACCGAACCCGGTTCTCTCTCTCTCTCTGTCTGTCTCTCTCTCTCTGTCTCTCTCTCTCTGTCTCTGTCTGTCTCTCTCTCACCTGCTCGCTCCACTGACCAGCAGGCATGTGCTGAGATCAACATTATGATGCTCGAAAACAGCATTTAGCAGAGATGGGGCTCGCACACACACACACACACACACAGACACACACACACACAGACACACACGCACACACAGACACACACGCACACACAGGCACACGCACACACAGACACACACGCACACACAGGCACACGCACACACAGACACACACACACACACAGACAGACACACGCACACACAGACACACACACACACAGACACACACACACACACACAGACACACAGACACGCACACACAGACACAGACACACACACACACACACACACGCACACACACGCACACACACACGCACGCACACACACGCACACAGACACACACACGCACGCGCACGCACACAGACACACACACACACACCACGCACACACACACACACACACACACACACACACACACACACGCACACAGACACACACACACACGCACGCACACAGACACACGCACACACACGCACGCACACAGACACACACACACGCACACACACGCACACAGACACACACACGCACACAGACACACACACGCACACACAGACACACACACACGCACACAGACACACACGCACGCACGCACACACACGCACACACACACACACGCACGCACACAGACACACACACATGCACACACACGCACACAGACACACGCACACACACACGCACACAGACACACACACGCACACACACGCATGCACACAGACACACACACACACACACACAGACACGCACGCACGCACGCACGCACATGCACACAGACACACACACACGCACACAGACACACACGCACACACACACACACACACACACACATCCCGTCTGCTTGCTGTGCATAGTAATAGACGACACACTGACATTCAAATTAAAAAGTTTTACTCCCCACAACGAAAATATGAAAACGACGTGAGAGAAATTCCTGTGTGAGAAATAAGTTTCGGTGTTTTTTTCTCTTTTGATTAACTGACATGTTCCGTCGGTTCAGTTACTTTTTTGGTTAAATTACAACGATACGAATCGGAGGATGTCCTCTGTAGGTGAGTTATTCTTTAGAGAGAAGAATGCAGGGAACAAATTCAAGAGAAACTCACTAAAATATCCTTGTGTTAAAGGTGATGAATCCATCGACTGGGGCTCACGACACGGACGACACCTGGAACAGAAGACAACCTTTAGTCATTTCTTTCCTTTGGCACTAACAAACATAATTTCACCAACATATTAAACGTTCTGTGCACGTTTCTAGCAATAATCATCACGTATCCAGATCATAGCACTGACGGAAAAGCATCCAAAGCGTTGGCGGCGGGACATCCTGCAGGGTTTGACCTGCTCATAACTCCATCATCGTCGGTGAGTTTCACAGGTATTTGTGGTATTTTGTCAGGCTCAAATACAAAGCCCAGCTGCTGACAACGCAGACGAGTCCCGACCCCCGTTGAGCTTTTGTCTCGCTCTTGTCGTTTAGTCCCACCGAGGCCGCTCTTAATTACCGGATTACCTTCCTTATTCTTCGTGCATCCAAGGGGAGACGCCGAGGGTCCACAGTGACTCACAGACGCGAGGCGGACAGAATCCAGAAGCTGTGATGTCTGGGGAAGGAGACTTCTGGATCAGTGAAGAGACCTTTGGTCACAAGACACCAGGGCCATTGAATTAAAGAGTCCATATCAATGTGAAACTTCATCAAGAGGAGCATGTTTGTATGCGTGATTAGATGTGTAGATGAAGCATTGTGTAACGGTACCTTTGGTGAATTTAAAGACAATTTAAATCTAGAGAAGCCCGAGAACGTTCTGAGGAAAGACCCCTTTGAACTACTTTCATCTGACCGTGAGAGAACTTCGGTTTTCGTACCTTTCACACCGAAGACGTCACGCTGAAAGTCGAGGGTCGGATCCATCCGCCGTCCCCGGTGCCCCGCTGTGAGTGCGCGGGGAGGCTGCAGCGACCCCCCCCTCCCCCCTCCTCCCTCCTTCCCCCTTCCCCCAGAACACTGATGTGGCCTCCGTGTTTGAAGTATTCATTTTAAAGGAGTGGGAAATGTTCAAAAGTGAAACTGTATGATTATTGAGCTCTCTTTTTCTAACAGAAAGATTTGTTTGTTACAAAGAGCCAAGCATCAGTGTGAGAAAAAGAAAAAAAAAACGACTTTCTCCTCGTCCACCCTGCAGATCATCAAGAAGTCTTGCATTGAGATCTTGGCAGCGGAGCCCTCCAGGGTGTGTGCGGGAGGTAGGGAGCTGAAAACACACATTCAAACGCACACACGCTCACACACGTACAGAAGACGGTGCCTCCTCCCATCATTTCTGGAACTGTGATCATTTCACCGCCGCGTGCTCATCACTCATCAGGAAACGATCGTATGTGAGCATCCAGAGCACTGAGATCTATTCACAACGAGCAGCGCGGTGGCGATCGCATCAAACGCTCTCATTCAAGGGATCGGCCGTGAGAGAGTGACGCTGGTCATATTGGCTGCACTGTAAAGTGGACAAAATCTTTAGTGTCCTGCCAAGAGATTATGACAGTTAAAGCAAAATGAAATGGACATAAGAAAGATGCTCTTTTGGCATAGCAGAGGGGATTTTTACAGCTTCCCAC